GCTCACTTCTTACTTTAAGGAGACCAGCGCCCAGGGTGGCATCCAGTGGCCGCCCCTCAGCCCCTGCCTCCGGCCCTTCGGGACGTCAGCTCAGCCCCTCCGGGGGTGGGGGGGTCCCCGAGGCCCCGCCGCTGCGGGCTGAGTGCGGGCTGCTGCGTGCACGGCGGTTGGGTGGGGCGGGCGGGGCGGGCTCTCTGGCTGCAGCTGGGCGCGCGTGGGAAGGGACGGGGCATTCCGTTCTCTGCGGAAGAAGTGAGGGCCTGTGACCGCCGAAAAGTTGGGCTTCCGCGTCTCCGAATTCGTCCAGGTGAAGCCGGGTGCTCACCGGCCCAGAAAGTGGCCGCACGAAAACCCGGCCTGGAGCCCGGGGCGGAAGGGGGTTGCCCGCGCCCCCGGCTCCCCTCCCGGCTGTGGCTGGGACCAGATCCCGCCTCACTTTACTCCAGAAGGTCCCTCCGCCCACCCAGGAAGGCAGCCATGCCCTGTTTCCCAGCGTTTCTCGGAGCTTCAGGGACCACGTTATGTAATAAGAGAGTTAAGTAAGCGGCAGCTCTCAGCGCCTGGGAATGCCGGTCCTGCCAACCGAAAGGGAAAGCACAACCCAGCAGGGCGGCCCCTCGATCCTTTGACGGGGACAGGGAGGGAAAGTGCACTTGAGCATCTCAGAAGCACCTTCCTCCCAACGCCACTGCGCTAGGTTCAGAGGAACCTGAAGCTAATGGTAAGGGCTCCTCTTTTTTCCCCCCCAACTAGATTTTTATTGATTTGAGAGAGGAAGGGACAGGGAGAGCGATGGAAACATCAATGATGAGAGAGAATCATGGATCGGCTGCCTCTTGCACGCCGCACATTGGGGATAGAGCTGGCAACCCGGGCATGTGCCCTGACCCAGAATCGAACTGTGACTTCCTGGTTCATCAGTCAACGCTCAAACCACTGAGCCGTGCTGGCCCGGCAGGACCCCTCGTTTTGAAGTCCCGTTGGCCAATGAGAGATTCTTGAGTTATAAGACTTAAAAGTAGCTTTGATACATCTCGTTCCTACAAATGGTTTGCAAGCACCACCTAAAGGGTTCAGCAAGGCCTTGCTAGGAGGTTGATGACGCCTCCCCCGGGCCCAGGGCTGGGAAGTCTCACCAAGTCCCTCATTTCCTCTCAAACTCTGGTCCCCAGCTCCAGCCCAGACTCAGTTTTAGGAGAGAAATGCATTGCCAAACACTTGGTCATATTGAGCCTGTGGAATAAAGAGAGGATGACTTCTGCCCTTTTCCCTGAAGACGAAACCCAGGAGGATAATGAACTCAACAGCTAAGTTACTGCTTTCGTCAAAGAGGGAGGCACATCCATCCCATCCGCTCATTCACTCAACACGGACTGTCCCTACTGTGCGCCAGGCAGTACGTCAAGACCCTGGAGTCCCAAAATAATGAGGCAGTTTCTGCTTTTGAGGACCCACAATCTGATCAATACGACAGATACCAAAACAAACCGCAGTTCATAATTATCCACATCCTAATGGCAGTGGCCCCAGGACACTGAACAATCCCAGGGAGGGAGTGATAAGCTCCCCAGGCGTTATCTGGGGGGTCTGCACTGCAGGAGGGGTGGGTGGGCAGGGTGTTGGGTGTTTGGGCCGAGGGAAGACTATATGCAAAGTCAAGGGCAGGCTGGGGGAATGCAAGTCACGGGGAGTATCTGACGTACTAAGAATGGAGAGCCCTCTCCCTGCAGTGGGAAGTCGTTCTGGGTTGTTCAGCAGGAAAGCCTATGGTCAGATTTGTGTTTGGAGAGACAGCTAATGACCAGGTGGAAGCTGGCTTAGAGAGATGCGATGCAGAGATGTGAAGGACCTCAACGAAGGTAATGGCAGTGGACACTGAGGAGAGAGATGGGTTTCAGTGGTGTTTTTAGAAAGGAGAGGCAAAGTACCTGATGCCCGACTGAATGTGGTGACGGAGGAATGAATGGGAGAGAGGATGCTTATCGGGTGGAGCTGGGGGTGGGTGTGTGGTGATGCCTGTGGTGGACATCATAAGAACTACACGAGGAGTGGGCCTGGGAAGTGGGCTGTGGGAGGAGGAGGCAGTTAACACTTGGATATTCCAGGAGAGGCCTGGTAGACTCAGGTGGTTGGCAGTGCCATCATTAAAACAAAAGGATGACTTTCTCAGACTAATTCTAAGCCCTATAGGATAGTCCTTTAGGTCTGGCTGCCCCTGCCCAGGTCAGGAGCTCAGGGAGAAAGGGAGGCTATCCCAGATGTTGTGCGTAAAAGCAGTGCTGGAGGCAGCTGCAGAAGCCTCCGTGAGACCGTGTCGGTGCCGAGAGCCTTGGGTGTGTCAGTAATGGCCTACAGACGCTCTTTTCAGGCCGCGTGCCGACTTCCACATGACTCTCTCTAGATTCCCAAGGCTTTCCCCAGATGCCTGCAGGGTGATACCTGAGCTATTGGAGAGAATCCTGGGTTAACGGCAGAAATCAGGATTTAAAAAAGATTCCCAGGTGATTCTAATGTGCAGCCAAGGTTGAGAACCCACTGCCCTATAGGGTAGTCCTTTAGGTCTGGCTGCCCCTGCCCAGGTCAGGATCTTATGGAAGAAAAGAAACCTTGAACTTGGAACTAGACAGACATGGGTTCGATTCTTGCCTTGACCACTGACTAGCTGCCCTCGAACAAGTCTTTGAATCTCTCGGCATCACTCCCCTTATATTTAAAATGGGGCTGGTAGATTGTTACTCACCAGGGCAGTGGTTAAAATCAGAATCAAAATGAAAAAGAAAGTGCATTTACTGTGTCTCACACATTGTAAGGTTCTAGAAAAAGGTGTGACTGCTCCTCTTGCAGCTGTGAGATGGGACTCTGGAGGCGTGGGATCTGAGCAGCATCGAGGGCCCAGACTTGCAGCTTTTTAACGGCCTGAGATATTTTTAGGCAGCAGTTGCGCCTCCTGTCCTATCAGTGGCACACGTCTATTCTGGCTGCTGCTTTGCACTCCATGCCTACAGTGGTCAGAGCCCAAAGAAGTGGATGCTTTACCAGCGCGTATGCGGGTTGCGCACTGCACAAGGGCTCCTGGGAGCTCAGGGGCTGAAAGCAGCCAGTCTTCCCTGGTCGGCCAAGGACCACCCACGTGCAGCCCCGTCCACCCAGAGGGGCTGCTTTTCTCTGATCCTCCCCGCAGTGGCCCTGAACCTGAGCATGGCTCCTGCCCTGGGTGTGTCTGTGATTTTCCCTCTGTCCCAAGCAGGGAAGCCTGACATATGCCAACCAAGTGAAGCTTGCAAGTTATGCCAACATCAAAACGCTCAAGTCAACAGACTTCTGATAGGGCTGGCTGTTGATGCAAAAGAGGAAGTAACCGCACAGGCAAAGACTTCAAATGGAAAAACACGTGAGTGAGGAGCCACCCACCCCCTCACTTCACAGATGAGCAAACCAAGGTTCGGGGAGGCAGAGTGTGTGCCCTGGTCAACAGCCGGTGAAGGGAGGGGCGGGAATCCGAGCTCAGTCTCTTCGCTCAGGAATTGCGGACACTCTGGGGTTTCTGTCACCTGGAGCTTCCGCCCCTCACCCACGGGGACACACACAGGCACTGAAATGCTGGCCGAGGTCAAACAAAAAGATTGCCCTTGAAACCGACCCTTCCCCCCGAGACTCCAGGGAAAACTGGGAGCAGGTCTTCGAGAATCCCCGAAGACCCCGGTAAGAGGGACGGCATTGGGTGTTTGGTGAAACGTGCCATGAAGACTGTACAGAGGCCGGTGGACGGGCCAGCATGACACCTCACACACGGATACACACGGACCACTCGGTGAGAACGGCTCCAGGCACATCACAGAGAGAGCTCACGAGACTCGCAAGGGCGCAGGAAGAGAAGTGGGCCCACAGGCCCCTTCCCTCTCTGAGGAGCAAAAGGAAAAGCTATGCAAGTTCTTGGAAGGGCGGCCCCCAGGGCCACAGAGCTCCACAGGGCGCATCGGGGGGCTGAGAGCCGGAGCCGGCCTTTGGCAGAGGCTGGACCAGGGAGGCCGAACTCCAGAATGAACGTCACGGGAACTGAGGTCCCTCTCCCAGGGTGGCTCCCGGGGCCGGGGCAGTGCCCACCCAGATCCCGGCCCCTGGGAAGAAACTCGCTCCACACCTGTAAGCGAGCTGCTCCGTGGAGGTTGTCGCTGAGCAATGAAAAGACAGCCCCCTCGCGCTCTGCCTCCTGGTCAGCACTGGAGGCTGGTTGACAAGCCACTGCAGACCTGCCCCCAGCTTCTTCCTGCGAGGAGGCTCTAGTTGACTTCTATCCTCCGCCAAGAGGGCCCTAACTTCCCGCCAGACGGCCCCAAGGAAAGCCCATCAGCAGTTCCTTCTGGACAAGTGGGAAAACCAGGCAGAAAAGAGGGAGAACTACCATCGGGACAGGGAGAGCCGCATGTTACTGCGCTGTCAGTCGTGAGAAGGAAAGGGTGGGCTCTCGGCTCTCGAGGGAGCTGTGGGGCAGGGACAGAGGAGGGACGGAGGAGTCCAGCAGCTGCGGCATTATGGGAACCGACCGGCAGGCAGTGGACATGCCGTGTCTTCACCTAAATGACACGGGGACCATGGCCACCTTATCAAGAGGTACTGCCCTTCCCACCCAACCTGGGAGCTCCACTAGGGGACAGTGCCAGCCTCCCAGCGCCCCTCTGCTGCCCACGCATGGCCGTGACCCCGAGACTCCAGGTGCCACTCATGGGCAGTGGCCTGAAATCACCCAGGAGCTAACACTGTGGTCATGGGAACCTGCCCATAGGGACCGGGAGTAAACAAACTCCACCCGACAAGGGCGAAGCTGGGAGCCAGCCCTGCAGACGTGTCCCATCCATCAGGCCCCTTTCCTGGAAGGGGCTGATGGCCTCCAACCTCCCTGTGTCACCCTGCCGTCCGCGCCTGGACCGGAACCACGCCCGCTGCCCAGAGTCCACAGCCTGCTGAGCAGCAGTGGCCGAGGTGAAGCTCTCCAGGTAATGAGACGGTGACCCTGCCACCCCTCGGGAAGCCTCCACAGGGAGCAGGAGGCACCTTACACACCTCGCGGCCCAGACTCCACCTGCTCGGAGCGCTCCTGGTTTCAGATTAGAAACTCGGGTCCCGCCCACGGACAGCTGGCCTGAAGCCTGATCTGGTTCCGGGAAAAGGCAGGGTGGGCTCGGGAGACTCGCCGGTGCCCGACCACTGTGCCCGTCGGAGCTTTGAGAGAGGACAGAGCTGACGTCTGCTGTGTTTTGGGTGGACAGCCGCATGGACTCCCAGCAGCCACGGAAAGAACACCTCAGGCCCACGCAGACGCCCTGTCTGGACAGGGGAGGGGACCCGTCACAGAGCATGTGCCACGTGGGGAAGAAGGTCCCAGGCTCCTTCCTGACTGACATTTTCCAGGAATAACTGTTTAGTGGTTTTAAAAAAGTTATTCCTTCAATAGGAACATTTAAACCCCTGAGGTGAGTGGTCATTCAACATTTGCTTTTGGAGTGAATGGATAAATTCACACCAAAAAAAATAAACTATGACATTTTCTATTTCTTAAGCAGTTAATAATGGAAACTGGACCATTCTTTTCCACTTACCAGCTATTAGATTTCAAGCAACTTTGCATTATATCTTTCCATATTGTTTTTATCTGGGAGAAATTCACATCACATAAAATTAACCATTTTAAAGTGAACAATTCAGTGGCATTTAGTACATTCATGATGTTGTGTAACCACCACCTCGATTTTCGTCACCCCTGTTCCCACTGAGCAGGCACCCCTATCACTCCCCCTCCCCAGCCCTTGGCAGCCTCCAAGCTGCTTGCTGTCTCTGTGGATTTATCTTGTCTGTTATTCTATACAAGTGGAACCACACAATGTCTGACCTTTAGTGCCTGGCTTCTCCATTTAGCGTAATGTTTTCAAGGTTCACCCATGGTCCAGCATCTACTGACGCTTGGTCCTTTTTCGTGACTGAGTAATACCCCATTGCCTGTCTATAGCACAGTTTCCCTATTCCTCTATTGATAGCCTTTAGGCTGTTTCCACCTTTTGACTATTGTGAATATGGGTGTGCAAGGACTTGCTTCTGAGTGCTTATTTTCCGTTGCTTTGGGCACATACCTAGGAGTGGAATTGCCGGATCAGATGGTAATTTTTAGTTTAACTTTTTGAGGAACCGCCAGACTCTTTTCCCTTCCCCCACTTTCTTATCAACATACTTATCAATTCACGTTCCTTTCCAGAAGATAATATGCATATTAAGTGGCATGCTTTTCTGTGCCTAGTCCCTTATTCGTCGCCTTTGATCTTACAAATTGAGAGATATTGCCTCTTGTCCTAGAGATAGAGTTATTTGGATGTTTAACAAAGAAAATACTAACTCGGTAGGAAGCAACAGCTAACAGCAGAAACCTTTGTGGAGTATTGTATATACGTGTGCCGGCCATTGTAGTGACCGCTTCACCTCCGTCCTCTCATTTAACCCTCACGACAGCTCAACTATTATCCCTGTTTTACAGCTGAGGAAACCGAGGTCTCTACCAAGAGCTAAGTGTCCTTCCCCCGGCTCCAGTATTATTGTATTTATAAAGCTTTGTGACCCTTGGTAAGATGTGACTCCCCCAGCTGTCCTCAGGTGCCACCGCTCTGTTGTATTCCCAGTGCACAGTATCTGGTACATAGCAGCTGCTCATTAAACATGGGTTCATAAACTCGTGCTAGTGCAGATGGAACTTCCAGCCCCTGTCACACTGGCACGTGACTCCAATGCCTGGGACCTCAATTTCAACTCATAGACTTTCTCAAAACAGGCGTGGCCCAGGGATCAGGGAAAGGAGATGGTCAGACAGCTAGTGAATGGGGTGCGGGGGAGGGAGACAGGCCTTGACCCAGGCTGTGGGGTGGGAACGCAGGGAGCGTGTGCTAAGAATCGGGAAAGCTGTAGAAGAAACAAAACCCATTCACTGGTCACATCGGCCTCGCGGGCTTCCAATTTGCAACCTGTGATAGAGGTTTGCCCCTCTTGGGAAAATAATCTCCTGTGGTTTCCAGCAACCTGTGCTAAGTGTTAGCAGTATTGCTGCACCGGTAGGCTAACTGAGTGTGCGGAGGAGAGGGACGGCGGGGAGTGGGGCGGGGAGGGGCAGGGAGAGGAAGAACTAGAGCCAACTAGAACCAGCGTGGTTGCCTTTGTGACCCCAGATTTAAAATCAGGATTATCACCAAACTTAAGAACATACAGAGGGATCAAATGTGTTTCAAGTCGGGGAAGAAGGAGGCTGACTACTCCCTATCCACTCGAGGTTTCTTACATAATTGCTTTCATAGCCAAACATATAAAACACCCCGTAAGGACCTCATGCCCAGCACGCCATCGGCCACCGGCAGCTCTGTCCCTGGGCCCTGGGCAGGCAGCATGGAGGGGAAAATGGTCCCAGCAGCCCTTCTCCCGGGCCACAAAGGAGGAGCCCTCCAGCCTGTGGCCAGGCTGCTCAGGAGTCCATGGATCAGAGCCGGTGGCTGGAGGGAGCTGTGGAAGTGTCGCCGTGGTAACGGTGGGTGTTTGGAAACCTCCAGATCTGGCACCCGTGATGGACTCCTCGGGGCCAGCTCTGCTTTCTTGAGCAACCTGGAACCCGTCATCCCCTCCGCCTGCACTGAGTCATCCAACTCGGACCGCACCCTCCTGCACCCGGCCCAGATCCCCGCTGGAGTGACAGCTGCCTCCTTGCTGCTCCCATCCCTGTCTGCCTGCATTTCCCTTGGGATGCTTAACTCGTCCTGCGTTCTCGTCCGTTTCCTGTGCTCATCCATCTCCCCACAAAAAACACAGTCTGTATCTGTGGTTCACTTAGGAATCCGGCCAGGTAGTGGGCAGGTGCAGCGGGCCCTGGAGAGCCTTAGACAACAGAGAAGGGCCTCGTCCTCACACACACTGGGTGCTCAACACTGTGCACCGGACTGTCTGCAGCTGGACTGCAGACGGCAGACGTGCCAGCTCTTGGCCCCTTTGGCCTCAATCGTACCAACAACCCAGGCTCAGGGAAGGAAGGAAAACCCAGGCTCAGGGAAGGAAGGAAACGCCAGCAGAGTGTGCCTCCCTCTGGGAAAAACACGGGAGAGCCTTCTGCAGTGATTGAGGCAGTGAGATGCTGAGCGCTCCACACAAGTGGGCTCTACCCAGTCAGCTCAGCAATCGGAAAATACCAAATGGAATGTCAGTTCCTAACGCGGAAATGTCAGGAACACAGCCAGTCGGGGGCTCTCCAACAACACGTCGTAGCCTCACTTTCAGTGGTGTCCTGTATGTGTTCGGCACGGAGCCCCGCGGGGCTGAGGCCCCTCCATTTGAGGCCAGCGATCTTGGGGTGTCCGGTCACGCCTCGGTCACCTCTGACCTTGGCACTGACATCCTCACCAGAGTCAGAAGCAGCCCGTCACCAAGAGAGGCCGGCAGGGTGCGCTGCACTCGGACGCCCAAGACTCTCTGGCACCGGAGCCCAGGCTGTAAGAGTCTCCAACCAGATAACGAGGTGCCACTGGGTGGATGCACTGTCCCTGGGACCGTCTGTCTGACTAGAGCTGCGTGTGAGCCAGGAACACTGCACGGCACAGTGAAGTGACGCGGGGTGTCTGGGGGAAGAGTTGTCGCGTGGTCCTGACTGGCTGTGAGACCTGGGCTGTCTCACTTTGGGGAGCCTCGTTTCCTCCTCTATAGACATGTTCATTCATTCATTCCCAGATACTTCACAAGAGCAAACACGGCCCAGGTGGTGGGGATGCCGTGAAGGGAATAGACTGTAAGACGACTGAATAAACAAGGAGCCTGAGGCAGGGTGGGGGCTGTTGGGAGGGGCGCAGGGCGGGGCTCTCCCCTCAGTGAGGTCATGGAAGGTTTCCCAAGGGGAACTGTAGTTCAGCTGAGACTCACGTGAAAGAAGCCAGGAGGTTCGGGTGGGATTGGGGAGCACTGGGGTTCCAGATAAAGAAGCTTGTGGGGGGCCCCAAACAAGAGAGGACCACAGAGAGGACCCAGGGAGCCTGAGAAACGGAAGGCCTGTGGCCTGTGGCCTGCAGAGGGGCCAGGCCCCGTGTGCTCGGTCTCCTGGGAGAGCAGCCCACTGGGACACCGGAGGCTCGGGTCCCGCCTGCCGCGGGCAGCGCTGCTGTTGTAAACTGACGTGGAACCCTCTGCTCCTTAGCTTTTCCAGCTGAGAAACCCCTCCCCTGCCCGCAGGACGTGGGCCCGGCGAAGGAGTGTTTGCAGAGCCTTCGAAAAACTAAGATGAGTTACAAGTGCAGGTCCCTGACGGCACCTTCCCCACTCACAGATGAACCAGGCAAGCCCACCGGTGTCAGCCGGAGCCTGGGGAAGCCATTACTTGGGAGTTTTTAATCCCCCTCCCCCTATCCCAGGGGAGCAGGAGATAAATAGCAGTTTCTTTCTGATTGCTTTGGTGATATTTCATTTCAGTTCCTAATCAGATTTTGCCTGAGGGAGAAAGTAGGCTATTAATAAAAGGTTTTTTTAATTGTAATATTTGTGATTAACCCTGCACAGTCCCCAGCTCTGGCCAAGGCGTTCTGTGGTTGACCAGAGAGATCAGGTCTGACACACTGACCCTACTATGTCCCCTGCTCCCCAACTTCCGGGGCCTCCCTGGGGCCCATCCCAGCAAACCTGTGTGTGGCCTTCACAGTCTGTATCTCACCAGCCTTGCCTGAACCACTCACCGCCCCCCCCCGCACCCCCCCGCATCTTCCTCGGAGGGTTTCTGCCCTGACACCCAGTCCCACACTCTGCTCTTGGCAGCCCTTCCTATCCATTGCACCCCAACTTCCTCTCTCCCTCCGAGTGTCCAGCCCTCCAGGTGATGACGTTCGCACAGGGTCCAGCACAACCTCCATCTCCTCCACGCCCCTCCCCCCAGAACCCAAGCCAACACTGACCCTTCTCCTTTCTCACGGTGCATGCACTTTGGATTTTCTGATATTCACTTTAGCCTCTAATTGCTGTTATTATTTTTGGAAATGGAAAGGGCATTTTCAGTTTGTAAAGGACTCTATGATGCTATCATCCGGCTCTCACAACAGCACTGGGTGGTGATGGAGTCGGTGGGCTTATCGTCTTCCCATCTTAGAGATGAGGAAGCTGGGGCCCGGGGGCTCCTGGACTTGCCCGGCACCGGGCAGGAGAGCGCTGAGCTTCACTAAGAAACACTCCTTGGAAGGAACCAGCTCCCACACCTCCTGGTCCTCCCTCTGCACCACATCGGTCATGTAGTAGATTCGTAACTAGCACTTCTTGTCTTAAAATAAAAACCCATGTGCAACTTCAGGAAAAGTAACTCAAATGGCAACATTTTATCGATGCAAATAATTGTGATTTGTACTATTAGCTTCTCAGATACAAAGAATATGCCTGCAGCATTATTTTTATGTGTGTAGAGGGAGACTCGCACCCACTCCATACAAACCTCCCCACCGCGGAGTCATCGGGGTCATCAGGGTTAACCACAAACAGCGCCGGGCCCCACGCCTCAGGGCAGGGGATGGAATGTGCTTCTCAGAACTGGCTCAGCAGGGGGACATGCTCCGTGCTTGGCCAGCCCTAGGGTTCGCCCTGGGGAACCCCCGTCACCTGGTCACCTGGTGCCTGGAGGGTCTAGGTTGCCCAGCGCCACTACACAGCCAGGTGAAAGCCGCCAGGCGGGGTGGGGTGCCCATCCATCTGTCCATCTGGACTCACATGGGAGCTAGTTTCCCAAGATCTTCAGGCCGCTTTGCCACCTGCAGAACTGCGTGTGTTTTGCCACGCCCCTGATTCCTGTCTGGAATCACCCATGATGACTCCAAACGCAGCCCAGTTCCTACCGGCCGAGCACACACTCGCAGGCACGTCCGCTTTCACAGCGTCCACGGCTGGTTTGCTCTGAAGCTGGTGCATGTGATCAGACCTTAAGCCACAGCCCTGCCCGTGCCCTTCCATCCAGGCTACACTGCGGTCACTTTCTCGGCTATCTGTCCTGACTTTTTCCCCATTTGGGGATGGAGAAACCGAGGCCCAAGGCAACTGAAGGCCTTTGCCAAGGACACATGCAGCTCACAGGTGAGAATCTGAGCCGGCTTCGGAGACCACAGTCTCTGAGCCTCCCCTGCTCGCGGTCGTCAGCCCACCTCCTAGCCAAGCCCTCAGCGCCTGTGACCTCCTGCAGGAGCCTGCACACACACAACCAGACCGCGTCAGAGCAGAGCTGGGCTCCCACAGGCTCTCCCCCACTCAGGCCCCACAAGGACACCTGTCCCTGCCTGTGACTGGGCCGAGCCGACACCCACCCCTAGGACCTCCCCTGCCTCTGACCGGCCGAGGCAGGGCCACGCGTTCAGACCGGTTGCTCTATCAAAACGTTCCCACCCAATGTCCCAGTTCTTCAAGCCCTGATACTTTGAGGGTTAGTCTGATAAAAAATAATAATAATAATAATGTATTCTGGGCTGCTAGTGGGAGATAAAGCTAGAGGCTGGCCCCAAGCCTGCAGGCAGCCAGGCCATGAGGCCGCCCTGCGGGGAGATCAGACAAGGGCCTACGTTTCCCTGCCTCATCCCCCCCTCCCAGGGGTCCAGGAGCTTTCCAGAAAGTCTTCATAAAGCTTTGGGGTCTCTAGGCAAGATGGAAGAGAGATGGGGGGTGGGTGAGGAGTGAGGACGACGAGAGGGTGTGTGCTGTGTACTATGTTTGCATGTGTGTACACGTTAGTATCTGTGGTGCACCCCCCGCCCCCGCAGTTTCTTCTGTCCATTCTCCCAAATGGCTTATTTGCACACGTTACAGGGAGAGAGGAAGGCGTTTGGGGGTGAGGGCGGGCAAACCGAGGGGATCAGGGATGGGGTGAAGCCAGTGGTCGTTCCACAATTCTCTGTTCAGGAGCTGGGCAGGGGCAGTTAGGAGAGGTGCACCTAAAGCCGCCCCTGGTGAGACAGAAAACGCCGTCTACACCAGGGCTGCTGGCCAGAGCGGGTGCTCGGTCAAGCCTTCAGGGCACTCGCATAGGTGCTCTGCGTTCAGCACAATTACTGGTCGCACTGTAAAAGCCTGCACTGGACGTGAGGATGCAGATTGAAACTGGAGCAGACAGGAAGGGAAGCTCATCTCCAGCCACACCAGCTCCTCTGCACAGCCCGTCTGCTTGGGGGGCGTTGGGGGGGGGGGGCAGCCGGCCCAGCGGGTCTGGGGACTCCACACTGTGCCCCTGGGCATCGCTGAGCCGTGGCCGGACCAGGATATTTCTGCCCCCTCCCTCTATGGTTTGGCCTTTACATTTTGAGCCTTAATATTACAGCAAGGCAGCTCTGGGCTTTTAATTGTCCTGAACTTCTGTTAACGTTCAATGAAGGGAGGAAATGGGAAGGAAAATAAACCCGTATCTGCATTGCTGTTGAGTTGCATAATTGTATATTTTCGCCACCCCATTAGTTTTCAAGTATTCCAGCCTACCAACCTCTCCCCGGCCACCACCGAGAAGAATGAAGCAGCCATTCGGTTATTGCTGCAAAGTTTGCAGAACTCCGAGTTCCCTTCTGCAATATTAAAGGGAATTATGCAACTTCAAATTGAAGGCCTATTTTTTAATTACCACCTGAGTGGGAGCCCCGGAGTCACACAAGTGCCCGGTTGTCTTCTTGCTTTTTCCAAAAACACCCTTTACCTCCAAGAGGATATGACGCGTGCAGACCTGGCCCTCAGTTATGAGCCTCCCCATTTATTTGTGGAGCGGAGAAGGCCCCACCCCCCTCCCGCCCACTTCACTCAGAGATGACCTCAGAGCCTCGGCTCACCGTCTCCAAAAATAAACCCACCGAGGCACCTACCGCACCCACAGACACTGGCTCCACCCTCTTAACCAAGTAGGTCTGAGAAGTAAAAATGAGAGCTGTGTGGCCAAGGTATTTCACTGTAACCATGGCTACGGGTTTTATTAGCCCAAACACCAGGATGTGGTCGGATCAGAAAGACACAGCCGGCCAAGGCAGGTGTGCGTGGTGTCACGGCGTGTGCCCACAAATTCTCCAAATTGGAAACGGAGCTGATAATGATGCCGATTCATAAAGGACCAGGGGGAACGGGAGGGGAGGGGTCAGGCGGGTGGCGGGCTGCGCCCCTAAGAGCCGCCCAGGGTTCTCGCTTGAGCTTTAATTCAGCTTTTTAATATCATCCTCTACCAGGCACTACCTTGCATTGAGGCGCAGTTTCCCTTCCCGGTATCCTTTTCACACGTGCGCCTTGTGTGGTCTTTACGACAATCTTGAGAAATATCTGGGCGGGTGAATAGCTTCATAGCTCAGATGAGGCGCAGAAAGCCGGGCCGACCTGCCCAAGGTCAGGTGCTTGGAGGACAACTGAAGGGAGACGAGAACTGGATCCTCTGCCTCCTGACTGTTCCTTCCACTGCGCCCCTCTCCACCCTTCTGTGCTGTCCGGGGGGCGTTCTGGTAGCTATTCGTTCCTCTTGCAAACGCCCCTCCTCATCATTCTTTGTCCCATCAGCCAAAGACGAAGACCAGCGCCAGGCCCTCCAGCTGGAGGCGACACTGGAAAGTGAGGCTGCCTTTGCCTTTTCCCCGTTTCTCTGTGTCAAGCCCCCTGGGGGGCTGTCCCCTACACAGATGACAGCACCCAGAATAGGTGATGTGGCCCCTACTCCAGCGGGAGTGGGTAGTGCAAGGAACGCAAGCTTGAACTGCCGGCAGGGACCAGGCAGCTGACAGGACCGAGTGAAGCAGGCAGGGGGACCAGGGGGTGCGACGGGGGGAACATAGGCCCTTCGAAAGCTCCAGCCGATCTTGGCCGTGTGGGAGGTTAGCGTGGCCAAATTCCAGGACGAGCTAAAGGTTGAGAACTTCATATGAAATCAGAAGAGGAAAAAAATTAAAACAAAGGTGCCCGTGAGGTGGATATAATCCCCAATCCCCACTGTCATATGTGACATTGTTCTGAACTTCTCTTCTTCCATGTTTGGTCCTATGAAAATGTGAGCTGCTTGAAGGCTCAGGGGTGTCTTAGTTAATCGAGAGTATATCCATCAGGTGCAGGCTCTAAACTGCGGGATGGGGGCAGTGGGTGAACACCCCCTCATCCTGGAAGACAAGGGGGCCTCCTGAGGATGGTGGTTACAGCAGGATCTTGGGACTCAGATAGGACTATAGTCAAACGTCTTCTGAACTTTAGCAGCCGGGTAGCCTCGGCAAAGCACTTAATCTCTGATAGCCTCGGTTTTCCCATCTGTGTAATGGGACTACAGAGGCCCACCTCCCGAGTTGCTGAATGAGGCCATGTCTAACCTGGATTACACACCCCGAGTTGCGCTCTTAGTAAGAACGCAGCAAATGGCAGCTGTTGGACTCAACAGATCACCCTCTGTTCCTGGGGAAAGTGATAAGACATTTTGCCAACCCTCTGTTTTGAGGCTGTGGCCTCCTGAGGTATCTATGTCGACAGAGGCCAGCCAAAGGAAAACAAGTGAGCATTCTCCCTGAAATGAAGAGGAGAAAGATGATAGTGATGGACAAACAAGGCGCCCCTCAGAAACTGGGTCCTGGAGGTCAGGAGGGCAGAAGAGGGCGGCGCGGATGAATGGAAATAGCAAGAAGGCGGAGCAACAGCCAGTTGTCTGCCCTGATTCCCGGGGAGGCGGCTGAGTCACTGTTTACACCAGCTTAGTGAAAAATGGATCAAACTCTGGTCACAACGAAATAGTTTTTTAAATGGATAGAGAGTAGTATAATAACAAAGACAGTGGTATATCATTGTCAAGGCAGTTTTAAGGCACCCACTGTATGAGGTATACTTAAGCTGCATGCTTCACACACACGATTTATTTTATTCTTCCCAATAAGGCATTCATTCCCTTATTCATTTACCCACTCATTCATTCCATCATTCATTCATTCATTCATTCACCCATCTATCCATTCAACAAATATCTATTACCAACCTACCAGACACTGTGCTGGGTATTGAGGCTAAAATGATGCAGCACACTGGGTGGCTCAGTTGGTTGGAACATCACCCCGTACACCAAATAGGTTGCGGGTTTGACTCCTAGTCAGGGCACATACCTAGGCTGTGGGTTTGATCCCTGGTTGGGGTGCATACTGAGGCAACCAGTCGATGTCTCTCTCTCTCTCTCTCTCTCTCTCCCTTCCTCTCTCTCTCAAATCAATAAACATATCCTTGGGTAAGGATTTTAAAAACTGATGTAGCACAGTGGATGAAACTAACCCTCTGAGAAATGTGCTAATGTCTATTCACAGGAGAGAAAACTTGAAAAAGTGCTTAAGTGAATGTTTCCCAGACTCCACACTGTTAGTGGAGGAGGCCACATTCTTGACCACAAGTTTTCTGTTCAGGAGAAGAAACACCAGAAAATTTCCTTGATCATCTCAGGGACGGAAATATGAGGAAGTTGTTGCCTTGCTAATGGGCTGGAGATAGGAACTGTATTTGATTGAATTTAGCATAGTTGGGATTCTCAGAGACTCACACGTGACTTCTAGTGTCAAGTCCTAAGGGTGCCTGAAAAAGACTAATTATTCGCATGGACCCTGTGGAGACCATGTAATTAGGGATGAGAAGAGAGAAGATGTGAAGAGGCACGGAGATAAAGTGGCTGGAGACCCTAGGCCCTCCCTCACCGGAAGTCAGAGGAAGCCCAGGTTCTTAACACTTGGAGTGCGGGTGAATTTCCCGCCAAAATATAAGATGGCTCTGTCTTTTGGTTTTGTTCCATCCACCAAAAGGGTGGATTACAAACAAATATTTGGTAATACACAGTTACAATCGGCCCGAGTTTACACGTTTCCCGCACTCCACCGCAAATCTATACGAACCGAGTTAAAGACGGCTCCCGCGGAGTACGCGCAATTCACGCGAGCCGACTTAACTTGTTTCCCGAACTCCAAGTGTTAAATTGTTCTCTCTTTCCTGGGTATCATCTTTGAGTAGAGAGAGGGTGTCTTTTGCCTCCCCTGTACTTCCTAGCACAGTTTAATTAATCCTTGATTGATTGAAAGACTGACTCATTTGAACCTGGAGTGAAATGAATGGAGCATTTTCCTTTTCCTTTCTGCTGAACCTGAGACAGAGCATATAGTAATTAGGAAAGGATCCCTGTTATCAGAAAGTCCCAGCTACAATGAGCCCTTTGTAGGAAGGTAGGCCATTATTTGGGCACTGATAAAGGCGCCCCCCCCCCCCCCCCACACACACACACACTCCCTGCTGCTCTCAGCGATATGGAATTTTCTCGATCATTATTTCCTCCTGAAAAGAGTTACTTGGCTGGAGCACCTGGCTGGCCTGTGGGCTAAACGGTGAGTAACTGTCATCAGTGTCTAGTCAGAGACGTGGCTGATGGTCGCTGTCCTATGCCCTTCGTTGCCCCTGCTCTTGCCCCAATGACCGGGGTTGACCCATGAACATTTTTTCAAGATCTCTTTTCTTGGAGGCCCTTTAACTGGCATGACTTCATTCGTTCAGACTCTGGGCATCCAAACAGAATGAGCCAGGCCGGCGCCCTGTCCTCACCGCACTCACGTTCCAGCACAGGAAGGCAGTCAGTGATGTGTAGCCTACAGTGACGAGGCAGGACACGTGAACGAGAAGTTCCTGCCACAAGGGCAGCAAGACAGGTCTGGGGTGTTGACTGGAGAGGGAGCTTGATGAGGTAACAGTTGAGGTTACATCTCAGCAGAAATACATTTGAGCTGAGCTCTGAATGCGAGGAGTGGTCACGCACGCCAAGATCTGAGAGCTAATGTACCAGGGACACACAAAGTCCTGGGGTGGACAGGCCTGGAGTAGGTGTGTCCAGGGTGCGGGGGGTGAGAAAGGGTAGATGAGATTGGAGAAGGAGGCAGGGCCAGATGATGGGGTACAGCGGGGAGTTCAGGTTTCACTCTAGGCGTTGGGAAGCCTTGGGGGGATGGGAGTGAGTGGAGGTGCAGGGCGCGGGGAGTGATACGATCTGGCTCGTGGGGGGGAGGCAGGCTTTAGAGGGACCAGGGGAACCAGAGGCTTGTTGGGAAGGTGTCACAGTGATCGGATGAGGGACAGTGACCTGGCCATGGATGGAGAGATGGATGGATTTAGGATGCATGGGTTTTGGAGGTAGAGCTGCTGGGTCCAGCCGATGGGGTGGAGTGGGGGTGAAGCAGAGGGGTGTATAACTAGTTTCCTGGGGCTGCCCTGACAACGTACCACAAGCTGGGGGGGCTTCAGCAACAGAAACATCGTCTCCCGGGTCTGGGGGCTAGAAGTACGAACTCAGAGTGTTGGTAGGGCAGGTTCCTAGTGAAGCTCAGGACAGAAGATCCGTTCCAGGCCCCTCTCCTGTAAGTGCCACCTTCTCAGTGTCTCTTCCCACTGTCTCCCTCTGTGCACGCCCCTCTCTGTGTCCAAACTCCCTTCTCGGAAGGACACCAGGCACATTACATGATGGGCCCCCTTGGCCCGTGTGGCCTCTTCTTCACCAAGTGCGTCTGCAAACACGCTGTGGCCAAATCAGGCCCCACTGTGAGGTCCTGGGCTCAGGACTTCCCACGCCCTGTACAATGTAAATTGTGGGGGACACAGTTTGACCCATAACGGGGGGGGGCGGGGGGGGGACCAAGGACACGCAGTCAGTCCTCGGCTTAGTCCAAGCCTAGAAAGAATTCATTCCCTCGTCACATAGCGATTAGGCCCCAAGTGTGTGGCAGGCACAGAGCGAGCTGTCAAGTCCCACGGCCGAGTGGATCGCTGCTAGTTAGGAGCTTGCACTGCACGAGCATGAGAGAAGTGAGCCCACAAGGAATGTGTGTGTGAGACCCTTGCTCTTTCCTGCTTTTAAAGGAAACAACTTTAATACAATCAGATAAAGGCCCTGGTAGGTACTGACTCAGAGCTCAGAAGAGAAGGCAATCCATCTGGGGAGGGTTGGGGACAGAGGACCTCTGAGCGGGACGAGGGGAGAAGGTGGAAAAGCCTTCCAGGCGACGGAACAGCGTGTGCGAAGCTCACGGCGGGAAAAAGCAGGGGTGTCTGGGAGAACTTGAGGGAAGTGGGGCGATAGGGGTGGTGGGAGACGAGGCTGGGGTGACGGGACCCGATCACGAGAGATCTGTGGTATCATCTGAGCAACGAGGAGCCAAAGGAGGCTGAGAGGACCACGGTCACTGAGGCTTTAGAAAGAGGAGCTGGAGGGAGGAAGCCAGAGCCACACCGAGGCTCGGACAGATGAAAGGGGCTCCTGACAGCCAAGGACCCTCTCTCTCCTCCCCTCCCTACCCCCATCCCTACCCCCACCCCCACCCCCAGAGCTGCCTGGCGGAAGGAGAGCCCGCAGCGCTTGGTGACCTCCTTCCCACCTGGGAGCCTTTGCCCTGCGGTCTCTGTCCCGACGGCCATTCCCTGGGCCCTGTGCCCTCTAGATCCTTGTCACCCCTCAGACCTCAGTGCCAAGTCCCCTCCTCGGGGCCATGCCAACTACTTCCTGCGCAGCCCTGAGCACATCTCTCAGTTTGTTTGTCTGTCACTGTTTGTCATCTCCTTCTCCCTGCAGAAGGTAGTAGCCTTGCCGCATCTGTCATTCAGGGCTGTATCCATAGACTCAGAGCTCTTGAGGTGCATTCACAGAGACCAAAGGCCACTGGGGTGAGGTTGGGGGGTGGGGTGGAAAAGATGGGGTCCGTGGATCCACGGAGAGAGGGTAAAGAGACCGTCACTCAGGACGCTGCTCTGAGTGATGTCCATGTTTCCATTCTGAAACGGTCTCTTTGAAAACGGAAAAGGGATTAGAAAGCATCTCCGTACAGAGACAGACAGCGCCTTCGCTTGAAGGAGGCCTGCATAACCACAGCCAGGACCCGGACCATCCCAAGTTCTAAGCATTGTCAGCTGAGGATCGCGGCACCTCTTCCTCCCTGTTTGTTTGGTTATCGCCAGCCTTGGCTCCGAGAGGCGCCACGTCCACGGACTCACTGACTTGTCACAACAACCGGTTACCAACTCCACCTCACAGATGAGCCAACAGAGCCCCACACAGAGGTTAGTTGACCCGCCCGGCGCGACAGCGAGTGAGGAGCAGAGTCAGGACCCGAACCCAGAAATTGCGGTCCCCCCATGGCATCGGAGCACTTGGCTAACCTCTGTTGGATCAGAGGCGCTAGAGGGGAGTTGCTGAATCATCGCAGCGTGGCGTGTTGCTAGTCAGCACAGGCTAACTGCGGGAGCAAAGGCCCCTTCCCTCAGCGGCCGCACCCAACCAAGGTTTGCTTCTCACTCATTCCACTCTTGACTGTGGTCAGCAGGGGGCGCTGTGCTCCACAGTCATTCAGGCCCGGAGTCCTCCCCAGGGCCCTTTGCCTGTCACCAGCCAATGAGCAAGCTGAGCGAAAACAGGAGAACCCGTTCCCTGGGCCAGAACTCCGTCACCGGGCCCGCAGTGATGTATGGGGGCTTGGGAAGCAGTCCAGCCTGCGCCCAGGGAGAGGAAGGTGGGCACAGCCTCCGGGCTCATTTTTAAGGACTTTTGTGGGAAGACCTGGCAGGAGGAGGTGCCAGGAGTCGAAAACATCGGTTCTGGCCCCGACTCCACCGATCGCCATTGTGTCCGGCCAGTCACTGCCCCTTTGGCCCCTGTTCCTCGTCAGCAGGGCGGGGACCCAGCGACCTGACGCCCCTGTGCCTCTCCCAGCTCGCCATGCCCACGGGACGCACGTCATTTCATTCTTCTAATAATCACGGTGTTCTGTTCTAGTCCGTCTACATCGATGAGCTTGTGCTTTTGTTCAAAATGGCAACCATAACGATCACAGTGATGGGGAGGGAACTACGACCTACTTCCCGCGCGCTCGGCCTCTGTGACACACCACGTGTGCATACTCCGGGGGGAGAGGCGCCCATGGGTGACGGGCAGCAATTAATTAAATTGGGGAGAGTACAGGCATCGATGTCACCACGCCCAGGGCCGGGTTTCAGTTATAAACCTGATCATCCACACGCAGGTTACTTGCTGGGGTGCGACAATTTCTGTACAAAACGGCACTTCCATCAGTTAGAGGGCCCCTGAGCAGTCAGGAGAGCCAGGCGAGAACCATCGAGAAAACACACCCAGAGCAGCAGCCTTAACCACAAACTGAGGTTCCCCTCAGCCCAGCGATGGCGTGTGTGACACCATCGTCACCACTGGGGTCTTGCAAGGACTGCACCGCGGTTTGGGGAGCAGGGGCACGGTGTGGGCAGGCAGGTGGAGACACCTGGGCTGGTTAAGATGTCGTCCACCCCAAGGACAGATGGTGGGGAGACGGCACAGACTGTTTGATGTGATTCCCAATTGAGAGAAAATAAATGCACCAGCCTCGACGACCTGAGCCAGACCCGGGCTGGAAGACGCAAGCAGAACACAGCCAGGGACACCCCCTCACGTCCCTTCCCCCCTGACCCCCCATCCTCCAGAGAACACCATGTCGGGCCCTCGACCCCCCTGCCTCCCACCCACCGCCCACCCGGTGGCCTCCCCGGACACCGGTAACCATCTCTCCATCTCGCCCCTTAGGGCAGTGTTCTTTACAAACACAGTGGATTAGTCCCCTCCTTGTTCCCTGGCGGCTCTGACAGCCCACAGCCACATGGCGTAGAGGCCCCCTGGCGGGGCCGCCTACCTGCGGGCCTGCGTCGCCACACGGCCACCCCACTCGCTGCCGCCGCTGCTGGGCTCAGCCACACGGTCCTTTCAGGAGAAGCCAGGGGTCCGATTGTTCGTCTGGAAAAAAGCACAATAAACGCATCGTCACCCTGTGTTTCCGACCTCTGGGGACTAAATGGAAACACAGGGCGACAATCCCCACAATCACAACCAAACGACCCAGGTTGGGTGGCACCCACTTTGGTTTGTCCAGGACAGAGGACCCGTCTCAGTGGCAGCGACACTAGGAGACACAACAGGACGGCTTCCCAGAGCGCCGTCCAAGGCCCAAAGCCGGGCTCCTTTTGCAGAACAGCCTGAGGACGCTCTGACATTAACTCTCGCCCCCAAGGACACCTTTGATCGTTCAGGGAATGCTCCTCATGCGAGGCTCATAAATGCTAATCAAACACTGCAGATTAGCCGAGCCTAGCGAGTAGCCTGGGGGCCTAGAAAAGAGTTCTGAGAGTAAAAAGTATAAAGAACACCTTTTACTCGCATTTCGCCCGGACTGGGTTCCCGCGTGGTAATGAATACTCTCTTTGGCTGTGTGGGGAGCCGACACAAATCAGTACCTTTAGGAATACAGACGGGAATTACTGACTTAGCTTTAAGCTTGAAGAGAAATCTATTTATTCAAAGGCTATTTTAGGTGCCATGGGATGGATGAGTTTGAGACAAAGGTTGGGAGGGGTAGGAGGGCCTGGGACATTGGGATAAACACATAATTCAAATTCATGCTTCTAGTTTAGCCAGCGAAGCAGCCTAAGTTGGAATTTGCTATATGCACGATCCCTCAGTGAGCGGAACGTACGAGGCTCCGTGATAGCAGATCCCATTATCTTTGTCCCTCATTTCCGAATCCCCAACACCTAATGCAAAGTGTGGCATATATTAGTCAGTGGTTCTCAACCTTGGCTGCACATTAGAATCACCTGGGAATCTTTTTAAAATCCTGATTTCTGGGCCTCATCCTGCAGAAATTCTGTTTCTTTGCTATGGGGTGGGGCCACAACATTAGTAACAAAGAAACAGAATTTCCGGAGGATGAGGCCCAGAAATCAGGACTTTAAAAAGATTCCCAGGTGATTCTAATGTGCAGCCAAGGTTGAGAAGCGCTGTATTAGGTGCTCACGAAATGTCTGTTAAACGCACAGAGAACTCTCTTAAAGCATTTCCCAGAGCTTTTCAGATCCCGTCATCTTTTCCTGAAGGGCAGCTCTGATCACAACATCTGCCTCCCGTTACAAAGCCCCCGAAGTAACACGCACCCTAAGAAGGCCCTGGGGACCCGGCCACAACCCCCAGACCTCCTCTCTGCCCGCGGGCGCACCAGGAGGCCCCTGCACTCCTGCCCAGGTCTGAGTCCCTGCCCGGAACCTGTGAGCATCCTTTTCACCCATGCTTCTCCGCCAAGAGCCTACCCACCTACAAGGTCCTCCCCAAGTGGCTCTACCTTCATGAAAACTGTCAACACGTGGAGGTGGGTGTCTAATTTGAACCACAAAAATGCAGTGCGAAGAGCACCTGGTCCCAGGAAAGCTCTCGGGTAAGATCAAAGCAGAGAAAAGTACCCAGGTCTCCCCACAACAGAGCAGCGAAACCTACTGGCCCGTCCCAGGCTGAGGTCACAGCAAAGCCACTGCCAAGGGAGGAGGCGAGGGGTGTGAGGAGCGAGGCGGTGGGTGGCCGTGGAGGGACCCAGGCAGTGTTCCCAGGCCCCCGAGGGGCTGTGACTTCTCAGAATACTTCCCTTTGTTGCCTGTGGAGCTTGTCTGGGCCACCATGTGCTTTCTATAAACCTTCACTTGGGCAGGGCCTGGTTTTTGTTGTAAGTCTTTCAAGCACTTGTAAAGTATCTAACAACAGGAAGTCACTCTCTTTGCCTTTGTCCAAGACAGACCAACATAAACGTTTACGTCAGTCTGGGGAGTAGCCAAGTAGCGTAAGATTCTGAGCATCCCGGGCTGCTTGCCAAAAACGGGTTAATTCCACACAGAGGACGAGGAGGCCAGAGCAACACCAGTGAAGGGCTCGCCCTGGGGCATCAGGAGACAAACTTCCCAGAATCAGGCAGGCCAGCACCGCCCCTCACTCATTCCCGGATGTGCTCCGTGTCCTGGCCTAGAGGCCTGGGGAATGACCATGCCCACTTGGTGGGGTGGTAATGAAGACTAGGCTAAATGACCAGCAGGTGTAAAGTGATACATGCCAACTTATAGTCTCACTGCCTCCCAGGGGCCAGATGGCACAGTGCCAGGAGCCAATTTATACAACTGCGTAAGATGTACCATGGGGGTGTGGGGCCACCGACCAGCACATCAGGACTGAGGTCATGCAGGCTTTGAAGGACACGGGAGCCCTGGGTACATGGGACACGTATAGAGCCTGTGACTGATCCAAGGACACAGACCCCGAGGACAACCCCAGGGCACCATGTGACACATGATGGCCCAGCTGCAGCCACTGGCCCTGCTCCAGTGCCCGAAACAATGAAACAATGATTCTGGGCCACGTCCCCCTCGCTTCCCCACATTGACAATGCGCCATCCTGTTGCTCACTTAAAAGCTATAATTCACACGAAGGCCATTAAAGTATCAGACGAAAAGCAAGCACAAGGTAACATCCTCCTCCAGTTCTTTCGCTGGCTCGGCAGCCTCGGGAGTGCTGGACCCACTGTCCAGGGGTCTGGGTGTTTGTCACAACTGCGGGTCCTCAGACATGTCACCTCCCCACTCCAGGCCCCAGATCCTTCATGTTTAAGTGAGAGGGTTGGCGGGGTCTTCAGCCTGAAAACCAGTGACTCTGATTTTGGGTCCCATCGCTTCTCGGCCTCTGGGCTACGATCAAGTGCGGTCTTCGGTCCTGGGCAATGTCGTGCACCAAGAAGCCTCTTGCATTTCCTTGAATCATGCCTGTCCTCCACGTCTCACTTAGACACAAGGACCTGAGGATTCCGGAACCCAAGGACCCTCAAAGACCTTACACCTGAGTGCTGATGGCTAAGATGCATGGGGAGAGCGGGAGATGGAGAGGGGTGCCGGAGGAAGAGGGGCCAGCCCAGACAAGCAACCAGAAAGACCCAGCTGTGAGCTGAGCTCAGGGCAGCAGTAGGGAGGGGTCCAGGGACCCCATCCCTGTTCCCTAGTACCATCGCTGAGCGGCCGTCAAGACCCCTTTTCCACTGGAAAGAAAGGGAGCAGGCTGGGAAGGATTGTGGGAATCCTCAGCGAGGGCCAGGAAGCAGACAGGGTGATGAGGGAGAGGAAGGACCAGCAGATGGGACCCCAAGCATGGTGAGTCCCGTCAGACACAGGAGTGGGATGCGAGGACAGGGCTGGGGGCTCGGAGCAGGGAAGGGGCAGTAAGAAGGCTGAAGTGAGGCTGGAGGGGACCCACGACCTCGGAGCCTGGGGACGTCCAAGTCCCCTCTGACAGGCAGCCGGACATCGGCACTGCCTCTTGTGCCTCAGCTCTCGTGTGTGCTGGAAATGGCGAGCTGTGCTCATGGAAGGTCACAGTGTGAGCTGCGGTGGAGAGATTGAGAGCAGCTCTCGGGGGCCCTCAGAACACTGACCGTGCACACGATCCCTTTGTCCCACAATCGCTGAGCATCCCCTGCGTGCCAGGACTGATAGCCTATCGATTTTCACATCCTCCGCCCAATAGCAGCGTGTATGCACGGCGAGAATGAACGACTACCTATTGACTAAATGCGTGCACATGTCTTGTTTATGGAGCCTCAATAGGATTCCAGTGAACTCTGGAAATCTGCAGTTCCTCCCCTTAAGCCTAAAATCGATGGTGTTATTAAAAACAGGAGGGCGTTCCACTGCACGTTTCCTGAGTGGTCTGTTTCTCTCCCTCCAGGTGCTCTCTGTGGCATGCCCAGACCCTCCGCCCGAAGGGGAATCCGTCACGAGTGAGCGAGGCTGTGTCCCCGAGAGCCCAGGACTTGGCGACGAGCTGAGCACCATGGAGAAGTTCGGCTCCTTCTTCAGTGACATCTGGGACACCATCCTGACCAAGCACCAGGAGGGCCTCTTCAACAGCGTCTGCCTGGGCGTGGTGCTGGCGCTGCCGCTGCTGGTGCTCCTCGCCCTGGTCTTCGTCTGCTGCTACTGCTGCTGGAGCCGGCCGGGCAAGGGCCAGCAGCCGGAGCACGGCCCGGGGAAGAAGAAGAAGAGGAGGAAGAAGGGCGAAGAAGACCTCTGGATCTCCGCCCAGCCCAAGCTCCTGCAGATGGAGAAGAGGCCATCGCTGCCGGTCTAGTGGGGCGGGCAGCAGAGGGTCCGCCTTCCAACGACACACGGGGCCTGGAGCGTCACACGCGTGTCCACAGAGGAACTTCTCAGCCAAGGAGCCAACCTCAGACTGAGTGTCCCCAGGGAGGGCACCCCCAGGGAGCACGGGGACAATGCGTGGGCACTGGCTGGGCAGCTATGTGTCCAATAGCAACGCTCTCTGCTCCAGATTCAGGTGTGCTGTCCGCCTACTTCCGGCACAGTCCATACGCCAAAGCACAGGGAACACGTATCCATAACCATCTGGGCTCACCATGCACACCACACGCACGCAGTACAGTATCTGCTCTCGCAAAAACATCTCATAGGAGGGCCTGGCCAGATTCGGGCGCAAGTGCACAATTACACGACCCGGCAAGGTTACAAACTCCATACCTGTTCCATGTACTACTCAGGTTACAGATGTGTGCTTCCTACTCCGCTCCCCACAAACCCTCCTGCTGCGAATCCTCATCCTCGGACGTTTCAGCACCTGGCACAGTGCCCTTTGCTGTTGTTGATGCAGACCCTCCAGCTCCTGTGCTCCTGACCCCTCCCCGAGGAGGGCAAGTTGACAGTGCAATGGATCCAAATTCATCGGAAGCTATGGTCTCGCAAGGTCCTCATTACCACGGTCGGTGTTGAACGTGGTCCAAGACTCCTCGTTGAAACGCTCCGCGCAGAGCCCCTCAGGAAGGCTCCTTCTCCACACGGGACAGCAGCTCTGGGTGTGGCTCCTAGAGAGCTATGGGAACCAGGTAACAGGCTGCTCGGCCCACTCCACCCGGTGCACCGTCCTGTGCAACGCAGAGGTGGAAGGAGATGCCCCACCTGAGCTGGGCATCCCCCCGGAGCCAGAGGCTTTCAGTGGGGAAGGAGTGAAGACATCGCCGGCACAGCCTCGCAGAAGGCACACTGGAAGCGACGGGTGGCGTGCTGAGGGTGGGATGCGGGAGATTCAGACTTGAAGCGAAAGCAGGATGAAGCTATATAGAGGTTTATTAATATTTATCTTGAAGCTCAGGCAAGTGCCTTGCGCACAGTGGGTACTCATAACTGTCTGTGGACGCCGTTGGGTATGTGATGACGTTAAGGGTAAGCTGTAATACCTCGCCAGTTCCCCCAAGTGGCCTTCTGAGTGAGCCCCCCATTGCTGCGATGGTGGAGGTGGGTGTTGAATTCTGCAGAACCAGGGGGTGGGTTGGCAGGTGGGCCCCGAGGTCCGTGAGGACATATCAACCAGGTCCACGGTGAGCTGAGGAGCGGGTCTCCCCACCAGGCTGAAGTTGGGAGGCCGAGGTAATCCACTTGTCTGATGAGCTGGTTGGTATTTGGACTGGATTGTGACCGTGTTGCAATGGTGGGTAATTCCTGAGAGCAGGCTGTGCTGTCCAAATTCATTTGCAACCCTCGGAGGTGGTTCCAAATGGTGTGCAATTGCCATTTAATTAACAGTGTAGCTAAACTATGGTACTTATAGCAGCAGAAACGAAATGCTGTGCGATTGCGCCAAGGGGAAAATGCGCTCTATCTGCGCACGTGGGCCACCAGGTTCTCACCTGCCCCCCAGGTGTGCTCCAGGCCTGCGCAGCCTGCGCAGAGCGGACGCTGGGTGGTGCCTGCCATGGGAGGGACGCCAAGTTCAGTTGCATACACTGTGGAACCAGCAATGGTCACCCCCTCCCCCTACGAGGCCCCAAGTCTCCCAGGCACTCAGGCCCTGGCTCCTAAACCCCTGTGACCAGAGAAGCTACACCCTCTGATTCCCTGTCCCCGTGCCACAGGGAGAGCCTGTCACAGAGCAGCTGACTGTCCCCAGGGCATCACAGGACGGCCAGTCATCTCCCCACCTCCCGCTGCCCAGGACACCGGCCTTCCCCTCTGTGCCTCGCAGTCCCCTGGATGGATGAGTTGGGCAGACGTGGGGGGGCTGGCGGCTGAGGCTGGTGTTAGATATGATCCCAGAGAGCAGATCACCGGGAACATGGTTGCCGTGGCAACTGGCTGCTCATTTGAATTAAGAGAGCAGTGTTTGTCACCTCCACGACAAGGCCTCCATCTCCAGGTGCAGGGCCCTGCTGTCTCCTAATCTAGTGCATCTGCTCCAGCTCCGGCCACGAAACACCAGGACGCACCTCTCAGCTGCTTCCAAAGCCTCAGACCCAGGACACCCAAGCCCTGAGCGAGGCCTCTCTTTTCCCCACCCAGCCTCCCCCGACCCTCCCTGGGGTACCTACAACAGTGCCAGGGGCAGGAGAGGCCCTCATATGCCTGTTGAATAAAGGGGCATGAAAGGAGCCCAAGGCATCATCTCTCTCTCTCTCTCTCTCTCTCTCTCTCTCTCTCTCATCTTCTCCATCCCCTCTTGTCCTGGCTCCATCCCTTCCTTCATCTCCATTTTCGCTCCTTTCCTTCCCAGCCTCTGTCCCAGAACTGCCTCTGGCAGCAGGGGTGCCTCTGAGGGGAGCCTGCCTGGCCCCTCTCGGGGGGTTTAAGCTAATGAAGGACAACGAGGGAGTAAGGAAGGGGCTTCCTCCCCCAGCACAGGCCTGGGGAGCCCCTCGATGTGTACCCAGCTCCAGCCAGCACAGCCCCTGTCAGAGCAGGTCTTCCCCTGCTGCTGCTGCTGCTCTCCAGGGATTCGCTCTCCTGTTTCTTGGGGGGAGGGAAGGCTATGGAGAAAGGGTAGTCACCCTTTTGAGAAGAATATAGTGGTCCAAATTGTACAGTATTTGTCAGTATTTTTTTTTCTGAAAAATTCAAACACATCAACAGAAAAATTGATTTAATAAAAGCCCTGCCTGGCCTCCTTCCTTGCTGGAGCCAGACAGTTCCTTTCTTGACACTCGATATGACCTCTCCCAGACGTCACTCACGTCACTCACTCACGAATGACGGATGGATTGACGGATGCAGGGATTCCCTCTGGGCACTGTCCCCACCCCCCTCAGCCCCTGCCCTGCAGAGCAGCTGCCTGGGGGTCCAGGCGTCAGAGGCGCCCAGGCAGCACCTAGAGAGGCTCCCTACAGGAGGCTGGGCAATGTCTTCCTCAAGGAAAAAGGGGAAAACAGCACAAACCACACAATAACAGACTCATGAGTCCACTAGGGTCCTGGGAAGGGGGGAAGTCAAAATCCTAGAGAGACACGTGTATGTGCGTATAAATATCCGTCTTTTTCCGAGTTGGCCATAGCTTTGCCTCATATGAAATGCAATGGCTTAGAATCCAGCGGTTCTCAACCTGTGGGTCGCGACCCCTTTGGCGGTCGAACGACCCTTTCACAGGGGTCGCCTAAGACCATCCTGCATATCAGATATTTACATTACGATTCATAACAGTAGCAACATCACAGTTATGAAATAACAATGAAAATAATTTTATGGTTGGGTCACAACATGAGGAACTGTATTTAAAGGGCCAGAAGGTTGAGAACCACTGGCTTAGATGCTCCTGATCCCTCCCTCGGTGATGCTAAGCTGGTCATCAAACCGTCTAGCACAGGGCTGTGCACCAGGACCAGGAACGATGGACTAGTCCCAGATCTACACTGTCCGCCACGTGCGTCAGCCACATCCAGCTCTTGCAATGAAAGGTAATGGCAGTAAAGGTGCAGGCGCCCAGTTACACCCGCCAGGTTCCAATCACTCAGCAGCCACCTGCGGCCAGTGGCTACCACCCTGGACAGCAGGGTCCAGAAGCTCGTGGGGGTCGGGGTCAATACACTGGCCATCAGCAAGGGCTGAGGAAGGAAGGCCTCTGCCTGCCCCCCACGGCAGGGGAGTGTCTGGAGTTCTGGTGAGTTCCTGCCCCCTGCCCATCCCCACAGATTCCGGGACTTCCCGAGGACTCCCTCCCACACCCTTCCAGCTGGTGACACCTGAGGGGAGGCCATCAGCTCCACCTGCCCAGCCTTGGCCCTGACCTTGGGGTGGATATGGGCTTGGACAATGCCACAACTCTCAACTCACAGGAACCCTCCGTGCTGGCTCCTGGACCTTTGACCCCAGTATTATTACCAAATTCAAAGTCACAGGATTACAAGACTGAAAGTCACTTCAACACAGCTTTTGGTCTCTGTCTTAGGTTCAAAGAGATGTTTTCAAATACCTAGGCCACGTCACTCAGGGTGGCCATGTTTATTCCGTGAGCATTTTTGATGTTTTTTACCCTGTGCCGGACACACCAGGCCACCATTGTTGTGTTGGCTGTTGGCATTTTTTTATTTGCCAATCTACGGGGAAAAGGTTAGTGTCCTGACTGGTCAGGTATTGCATATTTTTAAAATTGTTGCAGCACACCAGTTGAAAATCACCGCTCTACGTAAATGCTAGTGGTCTCTGAATTACATTTGATTATCTAGATCAGGGGTCCTCAAACTTTTTAAACAGGGGGCCAGTTCACTGTCCCTCAGACCGTTGGAGGGCCGGACTATAGTTTAAAAAAAACAACTATGAACAAATTCCTATGCACACTGCACATATCTTATTTTGAAGTAAAAAAACAAAACGGGAACAAATACAATATTTGTATTTGCATGTGGCCCGCGGGCCGTAGTTTGAGGACCCCTGGTCTAGATACTCAGAAAACAAACAAATGCTATGGTCAGATATGCGACTATCCCGCTGCTTGAGATCCGCACACGTGGATCACATTAGCATCTAACAGGTGCGATAATAGAAACAGGTGTCACTCTGCTGAACTCAGTCTTCCCAAGCAGATTGGACCATGAAACCTCCTCTTTCAGCACACCTGGAGGAGCAAGGGTTCCAAGGAACACTGTTTGGGAAATGCTGCCCTGGCAGGCATCCCCCATGCCTTATCTGTTCCTGTCTTCCACTACTTACAGCTCAATTCCTACATTCCCCAAGGAAATCGGTTCCTAAATGCACAGATTCTCCTTCACCTTTAATAGCCTCTGTTTCTCATGCTGCTCTTCCTCTTTCTTCCATTAGTGAACCATGATAATCCCATTGCTGGCCATTCACGGCCTGGAGACCTTAGGGCTGGCTGGAGAGACACCTCCACCAAGGAAAACCAAACGTTTTGAATGAAGTTATGGAGACGGAAGATCCGGGCCCTCCCCGGCCCCTCTCCCGCCTGCTGTATAACACACAGAGCATCTCGGGATCCCATCTGATTCCTGAGGTGACCGATGCAGGGTGTAAGCCAGGGGTGGTGCCATTTTACAAATGAAGAAACGAGGCCCAGAGGAGGCACACAGCTCCCCAGACCTGGAACGGAGCAGAGTCTCGAATGCCTCCCCCAGGGCCCTGCCATGTGCTGGTTTGGGCTCCTTCGTGTTCACCTGCAGGCGCACCTGGTGCAACAAAGGACTCGAGTGCCCAGATGTCTCCTTTAGAGGTTCCACATCAAGCCGCATCTTTCTCTTAGCGCTCTCTGATTAAAGCTAATTGTCTTCACCTACCAACACGGAGAAGCATTTTCATTCCATTCTGTTACCTTCTCTTATTTAAACCACAACACCCCAAAACCTTTGTTTTCTAGTCCTTGCCTTCTCAGCGCCCTGCGATTTGCTGTAATAAAGAATAAACAGGCTTCTGTGGGCTGGCCTGGGAACCTAACTTCCCCATGTAACACTGGAATCGAAACAGCCCATTCTCACTGCCCGTGGAAAGTACCCACAGCCAGAAGGACCTTGGGGAGTGGAGTTATTTGCATATTAGGAACTGCCGGAAGCCCCTTTAGGGGGTGCCCCCCTTGCCTTTCATCAAGCTGAGAGCCCCCAGCCCCTGTCTCACCGCCAGCCCAGTAGACCAGGTCCAGGAGGAGTCCAGGCTCACTAGGCAATCTCTCCGGGTACTTCCCAGGTACCATTCGTCCAGCAGCCACGCTGCCTCCACAACCACCAAGCACAGGCTGGACCCACAGGCGACTCTCAAGACCATGCTATCCAGGAAGGAAGAAAAGTGGGGACTCCCCAGAACTCACCTTTACAGAGGAGAGGAGGTGGTGGGAGCGGGGCGACACCGCCACCTGCTGGCCGGGCTGGCCACCGCGCGCCTCCTGCTCGGCCGGGGGCCCTGGTCCCGTTGACCCGCGTTCCTTCGGCTCCTCTCCAGCGCCCTGGACAGGCTTAAGGGAACGACCTGGACGTTTTTTCACGCAGGACTTCAGCAAACGATTACGTTTCGCCAGGAGCTTTTCATTGTTTACACTTGTTTTCCCTTCTGCCACGCTGTACGTCCATTTGCGTTTCTCCCTGTCGGTGGCCTCTCTTCGCACACAACACCTGGTCCTTTTCCTTCCAGGCCTCCCCTTCAATCTTGTCTTTCTCCCGCCCCTTCAGCAGTTTCTGGCTTTAATGATCCTCAAATCCCTGAGAGCTCTCCACGTAAAAGCAGAGCTCTTGTCGTCTGACAAACAAACTCCGGGCCTCCATTCCAGCAGACGCCACTGTCCACACCAGCTCTAAGCTGCCAGGGAAGGACCCTCCCTGCCTTTGCCACCGTGGCCCTCACACCCTCTCATCCTCCCTCCTGAAGAGCTCTGCGGTCTGAGCTCCCCTGTCCCACTCCTCCTGGCACAGGCCCAGTGCACAGCCCCTCCCCTGTCTGTGAACCGCTGCCCTTTCTGCGAACCCCCCTCCCTGCCTCCCAGCGCTTTAAATGCGCAGGCGCCAAGGGTCCAGCTGGAACTGGGAACAGCAGCTCCAGCTGATTCTGATGGAGAGCGGGAGCCAGAACCACGCTTCCACGTGGCCCAGACCAGAGTCCCTACCCATCTCTCCCACTTGGCCTCGCACCAAGCACTCCTCCCCTCACCCAGAGACCACTTCCTCCCTCAACACCAGACTTCCCTTTCCCGGGTGCCCTGCCTCCTCCCAGGCCTCTCCTGTCTCCCAGCAAACTCAGGGGCATCCCCACAGACCCTCTCCCATCACTCCTGTGACGCTTTCCCTCCTCCTGTCACCCGCCCCCCCCCCCCCCAGCATCCAATCCATATCACTGTTGACTCGCTCTCCCCACCTCACTGCCCACTGTCATGGTGTGTCCCAGGCCTGTCCCCACCGAGCTGTGGGCAGGGGGTGTGTAGTGTCCTACATGGAATAGGCGATGGCTTGGAGACTTCATCAAATGAGTGCGCTGCTTCTGCCTGGGCCTGGCTGGCAGCCTAGGAAGGCTGTGGTTTTCTTTGGTTTGTCCCCAGTGGCTCTGACCTGACTCTAAGGAAAGAGTGTGACCCTCTGACGAGGTTTACCAAGAAGCCCATTCCAGCCCCAGAGTGGGAGCTGCCAGAGCTGGTCACGTGAAGGTCAGCAGTGCCTAGAGGAGGGCTGGCTCACACTGGGGCTTACTCAGAGTGTGTTGAACAAACAAATGAATGAATGAATGAATGAATGATAGTATGCACTCCATCAGGGCAAGGACCATGTCCAGCTTGCTCGCCTCCTCTGTCCCCCCTAGTATGAGGCAGGCAGACACTTAAATTCTTGAGTCAGAGAACAAGGTGGGGCATTTTTTAATGATCAGCCCCAGCTCTGGAATGTCTGTCACTCAGACCACCCACCGTGAGATCTAGCAGTGACCATGGCATTGCTCAATGTGTGTGTGTGTGGGGGGGGGGGGGGTTAAAATTTTAAAGGCTGATTTTAAAAAAAGTTCCAAAAGTACAGGTTAAACCCAGGAAAAGCTGAGGCAATAAAGGACACCCTTGTCCTGGAGGGAGACTACAGCTTTTAGGGGACAGTTGTCCTCCTTCCCCCTCTCTCCTCCTGCTTCCAAATACCATTATTTGCCATCATGCAAGAGACCACAGCCAACCCTATCCCACTAAAGTGCACAGACTGTGCCTTCACTCACACTTGGGTTAAATTTAGAATTCAAGTGCACTTATGTGGGGAAAAGAACACAAGGCAAATGTTTTAAATCAGGTGGTTTATTAGTATTTTCTTCTTGAAGAGGAATTTGACTTACTTCAATGGTCACTGATTTCCCTACAGAAAAACCTTCCAAAGAGATAGGAAAATAAGCCGAAAGGGTCTGACCGCGTGTCTGTTCCGACAACAAGCCTTGGATGCTGAGCACTTTCTGAAAAACCCCAGGGCTGAGCCACACCGCTGGGCACAACCTTAAAATTTTCCCAGCAGGGTGGGTGGGGAAGGGAGGGAGGCTGGGCCTTGAGCAGGAATCGCAGGAAAGAGACTTGGGGAGCAACCAGTTATCAAGAGGCAAATGGCTTAAAGTTGAAACGAGTGAGAATTTATTCACAACATATGCAGGCCTATGAACGTGAATATGCAAAGGGCTGGGGAGAGGATGCTTGAAACAGCAGAAACTTGGAAGGCGTAGTTCCCACGAGCTGGGCTAGTCAGGGCTCAGCTCAGTGCGACTCCATCTTGTCCCTTTGGCTCCCGTCACTCCTCCTCACCACACCAGCAAGCTTTGGAAAGGGGAAGGTGTACACCCTTTTCCTCAAAACCCAGTGTCACGGGAGGTCACAGCATCAGGCGACCTCAGCCCTGGTCAGGGACACCTCCTTGGTGCTTCTTTCTAGAGAGAAGATTTGTATTAGCGGAGCTTCATATTCACACACCGACTTCCAGAGTTTTCCAGTTGGTAAAGCGCTGGATTCTGTTTTTTTCTGCCCTAATCCTATATATTTGTTACTGAAGAAAGACTAAAAGAAAGACCTTGTCATTCTCTCCCATACTCACTGGGCAACCACGACTGAGCTGGCCTTCAGGCCCCAATGTGGATGGACGAGAATGCAGGTGGCCTGGGGCTTGGTGACAGGCTGTGTCTGCTGGTGACCAGCCATCTCAGGAACCAGGGGCTGACTTCCCTCCAGCTTCCACTAACCAGTCACCAGGACCCACCCCACCCCAAGCTTACACAGCCCCAACCCCGGCCGGCCTTGCCTCATGCGATGATTGCTCAGATGGGTCATCAGAACGTTCTAGAATTTTCTCCTAGTGTCCTCTTCTTCCTGCCCAGGACGAGCTCCCCGCTGTAGCCCTGAGGGCGGATCTTCAGCTCCACATAAGGAATGGAGAATTCGTGTCCTTTCCACGGCTCCCAGTTCACCCCCTACATCAAAAATCCAACATCAAGAAGAGGAATGGGTGCGGGGGGGGGGGGGGGGGTCCCTTGCCTGGGAAACCACACCCTCACTGCTCAGGGCCAGAGAGAGCCCTCAGGGAAGTGAGGGTTGATCTAGGAACCTGCGCCCTCTGCTGGGCAGCTTGGGTTAGACAGGCTGAGAGCCCCCTTGTGGGGTGGGGTGTGGGGGGGGTGAGCCCAGGAGGCGCAGGGGCTCAGATAACAGGATCAGCCTGGCCAGCAATGATCACACTGTCTTTGCCTCACTCTTCTCCTTCCCAAAAAGTTAAAGGCAAAAATAAACATATTAATTGGCCTATTGTGTGGAATCATTTTCAATTTAGGCTGTTTAGATATTAGCTCTGGGGTAACGAACAGCCTGCTGAAAACTAAATTTCATTTTATGTCTTCTGACTGGAGAGCACAATATTTAATTCACTTAATAACCTCACAACCTGGCCAATAAAGAGCCCAAGTGACCAATTCTGTGTGTTTTAATTTGTGAGGTAAATAATAAACAGGAAATAAACGCCCTGCTGACTGTGAGCAGCACATTAACCAGATGAATGTCCTTTATTAGCAGACACGGGCTTGGTTTGGGGCCCGCTGGCTGCTCATTGCAAACAGCTGGTCTCTGATCACAGGCGTCCCTGGGTCGGGCCACAGCCTGCCACCTTGGTGCCGGGGCCCACCCGCCTCGGCTTCCCGGGGGCACCTTCCTTCTTCCCTGTGAAAAATCACCCCGGGATCAGCCCGGCTGCTGCCGGGTCAGGGCCAAAGCAATCATGTCACCGGGCTTCAGGTGTGCTAGTTGTTACAGTGCCATTGGCGAGAGGCGTGCGGGGGCGGGGCTTCCTGGAGGCCAGGATCCGACTGGGATGGAGGCAGAAAGCCAGGATGCACTCCGAGAGAGTGCACGGAGGGCACGGATTAATGCTGAGAAGGAACAAAGGTGCAATGATCAAGAAGCTGTGAGGAAGCAGGCAGGAGACGCCCATAGCCGGTGAGGAGTCAGGGCGATGTTCACGGGTCACGGAAGCTCGAGACACTGCGGATGGGAAAGTTTCAGAGCCAAGAGGGGACAGTGGCTGCGAGGATGTGCCTCTGCGCACTGAAATGGGGGGGTGCTCAGCACAGAGCTCTGGGCAGACTGGCTGGTTCTGGACGAAATGGGCCCAGAGATGGGTCTGAGCTTGGGCAGAAAGGACTTTGTTTCCCTGGTGGTCCAAAGACATGAGAAAAATAGCTCTGGTTTACCTGGGAGAACTAGTTGAAGCCCTACCCCCCAGTGTGATGGTGTTGGAGGTAAGCAGGGTTAGATGAGGCCATGAGGGTGGGTTCCCCCAGGTGGGACTGGTGCCCTTGTAAGAAGGGGACGAGAAGCAGAGCTCTCTGCACCGTGAAAAGGACAGGGCTCTACCAGGACCCGAGCCTGCCTGCACCTTGATCTTGGACTCCCAGCCTCCAGAAGAGAAACAAATGTCTGTTCGAGCCCCGCAGTCTATAGTGTTTGGTGATAGCAGCCCAAGCTGGGTTAGACCATGTCCATGTAGGAACTCGTCTAGTGAGATGGAGCAGGACCCACATTGTGTGTGAATATTCTGAATGGGCAGCCTGGGCTCTCACCGACCTGCGGAAAGTGTGGGGCACTGGGGAGGGGTGAGCAGGTGGGCAGGCGGGCCCTGACCCCAAGGCCATGGGGAGGGGTGAGCAGGTGAACAGGGAGGGCCTGGCCTCAGGACCGTGGGGAGGGGTGAGCAGGTGGGCAGGGAGGGCCCTGACCCCAAGGCCATGGAGCCTGGAAACAAACTCCTGCCCTGACTGGGAGCCTCAGAAGGAGAAGGCAGACTAACCTGCCTGGAGGGAGTCACCTGGGGAACTGAACGTGGGCAGAGCCAGTCACCTACCTCACTGTGCTTGGTCTCCCCGTATCTGCCGTTGGGGTTGGCCAGGTGGCAGTTCTTGTACCACCAGCCGCCATGGTGCGTCAGGGCACAGTTGCTGAGGGCGATGTCGTTGTCTCTGTCAAAAGTTGTAAACTTCCACCCGTTGTGGTAAGAAAGAGCATCCCCTGCAGGGAGAAGATGTGAGAGGTGAGAGGCCACGTTCACCACCTAGGGGTTGAGGACTTAGCAGGAACAAATCTAGCATGAAAACACCAAGGACCCGGTCCATTATGTCACAGGTCCTCTTTCCGGGTCTGCCACCCAAACTCCAGGCCTTGTCCTCCAACAGCCTTCACAGCACGCTCTTTAAAAGCGTCACAGTCCTGTGAAATAGCCACACCCCCAAACAAACTCATGATTCTTCCCATAGCACCTGACCACCCCCTCCCATCCTCCCGGTCTCTGCTCAGCCATCCGCCCAGCCCGGAATCCCCTGAGCCAGGTCCGACAATCCCCTGTACCCTCATCACGCCCTTCCTCCTGCAGGTCACTTGGGCGCCCTCCCCACCAGGGCTACCGGGGCCTGCTCTCCTCTCTGGGCCTGATCCACACCGCAGCCTTCCTAGCCCTCCTGAGGCTTAAACACCCATCCTCTCAGGCCTCACGTCCTATTTCCTGCCACAGGATGTGAATTTCTGCCCCTGGCTTGGCAGACCTGTAACTTGGCTGTTCCCGATGCACAATCTCAGCCCACTGTCCCCACAGGCAGCTTCCGTCTGTGGAGCGCACGGGTCCAGCCTCGTTCATGCCTCTCTCACCACTTTCTCCCTGCTCTCCATGGTTAAACCCTAACCAATCTTCGAAGCCCAGCTCAGCGGTCCTGAGGAGTCTCCTCCTCACCCTCCCTCACACCTCCTGCCACACATGAACTTCTGGAGCTCTCTGAGCACAGCACACAGGTTCATGCTCCATGTCATCGTGTCTGGAAACCTGTAATTACTTTACTCCCCTTTCTCCTATTTCCCCATCACATGTGTGGTCCTTTTATAAGTTTCCTTTTTAATTCAGCTCACAAAAGGCAGCGAGGGCCCATATCGATCCCAAGCTTAATTAAGTGCTGTTTTCATGATAATAAACATATTATATCTGGTCTCTGAGTTTACCGATCACCTTCACAAACAAGCCTTTGGGTTGGGCTGGGCGCCTCCTGGTCCCACGAGGAAGCAAACTCACAGACGTTAGAGTCCACAGGCTCATCCAGCGGCCACCCCTCCAGCTCGTCTCCTCCATGTCACCGTGTCACCAGACTCCCCCCTCCACCCACCACATGGAAGCTCTCTGGGTCTCAGGAACTGTTCTTACAACATAAAACCTCCCTAGGATTATGCAGAAAGGTCCTGCTGGCAATAGCTTCACTGAAGCTCACCTACCGTGCTCCATGCTAAGCACTGGGAAATAAGAGCAAAGGCAAAATGCATGTGACTTTTTTAAACATTAAGTCCTAAAACCTGAAATTTTGCACCAGCGGTTGGCCACTTCAGATCACAGTGTGTGTTCAGCCTTCTGCCATTAGGGGTCGCTAAGCAGACCATGTTGAGAAGGCCTGCGGTCTTAAGAGTACACACCGATTTCCTTGCCTCAGCTCAGTCCTTTCTCAGTCCTGGACTCCCCTGGGCCTGGGGAGCCCCTTCCTCCCTCCCAGCTAAGTTCTTCCCTCTCAGACCCGACTCCAGCCCACCAGCCTGCAGAAGCCCCTGCACGCCTCGGCCCCCACATACCACCTTCTCCACACTCCTGGAGCTCTCATCTCCTGACCACTTGTTAGACTCTTTGCCAAAGTTACCTTCTATTCTCACTGACCTATTTCCATGTGAGTCTCAGGGGAAAGGCCATGTCTTATGCAGTCAGTCGATCTGGCTGGTTACACGTTCCTACCTAGTTACACCAAAGTCAAAACATGCAGAAGCAAAAGCAGACCTACTTGTTAAAAACTAGGAATATAGGCTTAACTATAACATTAAAACAATAACCACGCCTCTCTCTTAAATAAAATAGTCCAATAGCACCATCCCAGGATTAATTTTGTTATTTTCCTTCACAAATAAACACCAGAGCGCAGCCCAAGGAGGGTGAGCCCCATCTCCACTGAACGGCTGCCCCTGTGTTGTCACCGCTGCATGTCACTGCGACCTACACGCCTAGTGCTGGCTCTGCACTTTGACCTTTCTGCCTTTAAGTAATAACACACTCAGGCTGTGCACGGAGGCAGCCCCTCTGAAGCCGAGTGGGAGGTGGGCAGCACCAGGGGGTGGCGGGTCAGTGTGTGATTCCTCAGCAAGGGGGCAGCATCCTGAACTGGGGGTACAAGAGGAGGGTTTTTACTGGCTAGGGGTGCACTGGGGGGTGGGTGTCCATGTATAATGTTCTGATCTTACAATGATCAAGGATTGCTTTAAGAACCTTGTGTACCCTGACCCCCTGCTGGGAGCAGGGCCTGATGTGCCCATGAGAACCGTGCACCTTCGCAGGACAAACTTCCACCCCCTGATCCGTGGCACACGGCAGCCCAAGGCTTGGACACAGGGCAAGCGGCCTCGTGGTCTGTCAGGAACACTGCACGCACCTGCCGTGCCTCTGTACTTCCCCACCGTGAGCCTGTACCGCTCCTTGCTGGAGGCCACCTGGAAGAAGTCGTACACAGCATAGGCGGACTCGTTGGCGGTCTGCAAGTCCACTCTCACCTCGTACCGGGTGGGGGTGCCAGTGGTGAGGTTGTGCAGCTTGTCAAGTCCTAGAAACAAGGAATTCCAATCACCGAACGTCACCTTAGCCTTCATCTCTTCTGCTAATGGGTCCTCCCCCTGCTTTCTCTTTCAGGGGCTCATTTCCTTCTGCTGTTAGTTCTTTGGTGAAGTCGTGCTATTGAGTGTGGAGGCTGTGTCCTCCGGGAGGGCAGGGTGCAGGCACTCCCGGGGTGAGCCTGCCCCACCGGCTCCATCCCTGAGGCACCAGCGGTTTATATTCATTGTCCTCTTATCTCACAGCTGGCGGAGACCAACCACTCACTGACGGTCTCCTACCCTCCCAGGCACCGAGCATCCAGACTGTGACTTTTTAATTTTTCATCTCCCAGTGGACGATTCGTACTCCCTCACTCTCCATGAGCATCTGCTCTAGCACAGAGCAGAAGGAAGAGAGAGCGAGCAGGGCCCCTAGTGGCTGGCAGAACACGCAGCACTTCTGGGGCCAGGGTGGCCTCCTCACAGTAGCCAGAATCCTCATTGATGGCTATTTTCTAATCCTTTGATTCTCAAGGGGAATCTCCCCTGCACCACCCAGCCTTCCTGATTCTCAGAGTCCGTACCGAACCAGAACTCCTTGGTGGGGTCCCCGAAGCCCTCCACGTAGGTCCGCCAGCGCTTGAAGAAGTCCAGCTGCCCGGTGTTCCGCCGCTGGAAGACCTGGAAAGGGAGATGGCGTTCCCTCTGATGCACTCAGCAGCCATGACTGAGAGAGAGGGACAGGAGCGGGGGTGGGGGACCTGGAAAGGGAGCTGGCCCTGAGGAAACAGAGGCAACGTGGCAGATGTGGTGACAGAGAGGGAGGAAGTCAGAGCGGTTCTGTGGTTCTGAGAAGTCCGCATGGAGAGAAGACTGGCTTTGTGCGGGCACCACGGGCCCACGGGGACATGGTAGGTGTGAGCCCTTCTGAGGTCTCCTGCTGGATGAAGAGGCCACAGGCACAGCTGGGTGTGAGCGCAGAGTCCCACAGAGAGACCTAGGCTAGATGGGAAGGTGAGCGCGTCTGAGATGGTGCGGGGCCCACCACGCCCACCGCACTCCCTCTTCCCAGGCACACGGAGACTTCCTGCTGGCCTCTCCCGCACCCCCTCACACGTAGCTGGAGCCAAAGGACCTTCAGTGGGAGCACAGGAGGGGGGGTGTGCTCCATGCTCGCCCTTTCATTGCCACGGGGCCCTCTGCCTCGAGGAAGGCCACATGGGACAGGGCAGAGCCACACGGTGAATCAGCCTGAATCGGCCTGATCCCTGTGTGGGCAGGACGGGCAAAAATGACACCAGTTACTCTGCTGGTCTCTTGCCCCTTCGCTCCAGTCCTTCTTCAGAGATGCCCCATTCCCTCAACCCCTCATTGCTCCTTCATTGATTCACTGACATAGCAATCGTTTACTGAGCATCTGCTAAGTGCTGGCTCCAGGGCAAGTACATAAGATGTCACTTACAGATGTGAAAGTTCACACAGCTAAGTGTTTGGGGACTGATGCCAGGATAAAACACTGATCCCCTCACCCTTCCATTGGAAAGTTTGAGGAACCAGCTCTACTGAGTCTATTCTCCAAAAAGCATTTCTTAACACTCTGAGGCTCATGGTCAGTTTCCTGGCACGGAGGCTGTTCCAGTCCCTTCCCCGGGACTATCCCTGCGTCACAGACAGTGGAACCCTAAGGTGGATGTGGCACCGATGTTAGTTCCACAAACGTCACATCAAAATACACGCCCAGTAACAAGGTCAGGCTCAAATCCCGCACCTAGGACAGATGCATTACAAACGCATTTGGTCCCTTCCGCCAATCAATGAACACAATGCCCAAGTGTGACAGGACCTTTCCTGCTAATCTCTTTTCCTTGTTAGGAAATGCTCCAGCTTGGCCAGGGAAACTCTGGGCAATGGTTCCGATGCTCTCCGCATCACTATGAGACCCAGTGCTCTGCTTGCCAGCTGTGTCCTTGAGCAAGTTAGTTAACCTTGACAAGCCTCACTTCTCTAAACCATTAGACCAAGGTGGCCCATTTGTCATGCTCTTAAATGAGGCTTCAGCAAGGTCAAGAATCATAATAAATTATACAGTATTGCCCGGCTGGCATGGCTCAGTGGTTGAGCATCGATCTATGAACGAGAAGGTCACAGTTTGATTCTGGTCAGGGTACATGCCCGGGTTGAGAGTTTGATCCCCCGTGTGGAGTGATGAATGATTCTCTCTCATCATTGATGTTTCTATCTCTCTCTCTCCCTTCCTCTCTGAAATCAATAAAAATATATTTAAAAAATAAATCATAAAGTATTGAGGCCAGAGCCTGGCATATAAGGATATAAGTTATTATATCTCAGTAAGTGTTGGTTTGCATTTTATTACATCAGATTCCCAATGAACTAACCCTCAGGGATCATGTGGATGTCTTGATCAGGAAGCCTTAACTGACTCACTGAGAATCACGTTCCCACTCTAGGAGGTGAACTAGTCTAATGAACTATTCTGGGAAAACAAGGGCCCCTTAGCAAAAACGTCTCAGGGGGGATCTTTCCTGTCTGGTTGTACACTCCAGCTGTCCGGGTACACTAGGACTTACTTGATGTCCTGAACAACTAAACCGGAGAAAAAAAATAAAAATCTCACTTAAATGAATGCCTGTGGAAAGAGCCTCACATGTGGCCCTTAAAACTTGCAAGATGGAAAACAAAGATGGAAATATCTGAGCCACGTAAGTGTTCCCTGGGTTCACTGCAGGCTTGCGCTCGGCCTCCATCACCCGGGGGCAAGGCCCTCTGCCCGTGCATCAGATTGGGCTCAGCTGCCGGGGCTGGTGAAGAACCTCCATAGAAGGACTTGAGAGCTCAACTGGAGAGAGCAGTGTACTAAGGTCATCTTTCAGTGACAAATAGACTCTTGAGCCCAAAACTATGGAAACCACCAGTGAGAGGTTTGATGGAGAAGTTTTCAGGTCCCTACGTGTCATCCAGGGTGTGCTGGCTTTGAGGAGGACTCTACAGACTCTCAGGCCACGTGTCACCTTAGGAGTCGGCCAGAACACACAACCTGGGCGGGTGGGCCTGGGGTTAGCGAGAACGCAGAGCCATTTTCTCGGGGTCCTCTGCACGAGCAGGATGTACGAGGCAAGCTCCTGGATCTGTTTGGTTCTCTTGTGGTTCTTGATTCGGTACAACAGTGCTGGACACATAGTAGGCACTCAAATATCTGTGGAAAATTCATGGGTATTCCCAGGCAGACACACTGGCAGATCTCTCTCTGAAGGCTGCCCAAGACAAATGCCTCCTTCCCTGGCTTTCAAAAAAGGCCCACTAGGCAGTACAAACATCCTGCCAAAGCTGATTATGGGCTCCAGGGCAGGATGCTCAGAGCTACAGTGGTGCTGAGGAAAAGCAGCAGGTGCAGCCTGTGGGTCTGGTCAGGTGGAAGACCTCCTATGATACCTTCTGTTTCCGTATTTGTAAAGATCCATCAGGAATTTGCCCTTCCAATCCAATTACTGCCTTTCAGCCATCGGAGGCAGCTGTGCGGATAATAAGTTTTCTCCGTTGCTGCTTATCAGATGGTATTATTTTATCCATGGCCGCTCAAGTGTCTTTGGTTTCCCAGGCCCCTGAGCGGGCGCATGAATGAATGCAGTTTGAGTGGGATGGGCTCAGCTTTCTGCTTCCCCGAGTGGCGGGTGCACAGCGGGCAAGTGCGTGCTGGTCTGGGGCAGCGAGAGCCTCTCTCTGCTCAGGCGCAGGGAGCAGGGGCTGGGGAGACAGAGGATCAGACTGAAACCCTCCAAGGCAGCGCCTCAGATCCCTGGACCAGGCTGCCGCCATCAGAGATGGGCCACGTGCTTTCAGCAGACAACGGCCCAAGAGGATAAAGCCTCACTCAGGCGGGGCACGATCGAAACGTCGCCACGTGTTCTTCTCTCAGGCCTTATTCTCTCAAATCAAAGTCCCAACGGCCTTGCTTCTGTACTGAGGAGCCAGGACGAGGAACCCAGACAACAGGCTCCAGGTCAGAGGGCAGAGACCCCAAAGAGGTCATGTGTTTCAGGTGACCTCACATGACCCCAGGAGGACCAATGATCGAGGAGGAGGCTGGAGTCCTGAAATCCGGTTCCACTTTGTCACTAACTCGTGTGACTTAGCCTGGGCACATCCCCTTGTGGGCCTCACTTTCCTTACCTGTAAAATCGGAATAATCATCTCAGTGACTCTAAAGGTTTTGTGTGAGGGTCATACTTGTGTGAGGGTCATGTTTTTTGTTTTTTATAAATATATTTGTATTAATTTCAGAGAGGAAGGGAGAGGGAGAGGGAGATAGAAACATCAACGATGAGAGAGAATCATTGATCGGCTGCCTCCTGCACGCCCCCTACCGGGATCGAGCCTGCAACCTACGCATGTGCCCCTGACCTGAATCGAACCTGGGAGCCTTCAGTCCGCAGGCTGACGCTCTAACCACTGAGCAAAACCAGCTAGGGCATGGGCCATGTTTTGTATGAGGGTTATACTTAGGTGAGGCTCACAGTTGTGTGAAGGTCATACTTTGTGAGGGTCATGTTTTGCGTGACTCACGATCCAGCCGCCGCCGTCCGTGTCCATGTCGCAGTACACTTGCAGGGGCTGGCTGGCGTCCCCGTGCAGGTAGATGGTGTACAGGCCGCTGGCGACGTTGCTGTTCTGCTGGACTTGACTGCAGTCCGAAGGGTGTGGGAAACGGGCACCAACTAGGAGCCGAGCAGAGGGCAGCATCATTAGAAGGGCAGCGGGCCAGTGCCTATTTTGTTAATTCATTTTGCTTGGGAGATTCATAACCTACTACTTTGCTCCTTCCAACTCTTCACTCACATTTCACTTTTCACTCATTCTGCTCTCATCAAACTCTCCAGATGTACTAGAAACAAGGTCAACTTCACATCTCTTCCTCCCCAACCCAACTGCACCCAAAGTTTCGCTCCTCTCCTTAGTCTCTCCACCAGGGGAGGGGCTTCTCCTGAACCTGTACCCTACCCATTCCCATGCTAGAGAACCCACAGCTCTGTGGCCACCGCTGCTGCGGACATCCCTCCCTCGGACACCCCTCCCGCGGACACGTCTCCTGAGACTCTCCTGGCCTCTCCCAGGCTCGGCCTCTACGATGTCTTGTTCAGAGAGCAGGAGCCCACCGACCTGTGGAAAGGGCGATGGACACACTCCTGCTTCGGCGATCACCCTTGAATGCCACCAAGGAGACAGGGTAGGTGACGCCCTGCTCAAGGCCTTGCAGCTCAAACCTCTGGTCCCCGCGTCCGAGCTGCACCTCCTACCACACAAAGGAGACAGGAAGCGACATTCAGTGTATCGCCCCCAGCAGCCTGGGTGCCATCACATTCCCTGGGGCCGATGCCAGCAGCTCTCAGGCAGCAGTGCTTGTCTCTGAGGGCTCAGTGGCAGCCCAGGACCCCAGTGCCTCCCAGCCACTTCTCCTGAACGGCCTCCTGCTGGCGCAGGAACTGGGAGCCAGCATGAGGCAGCAGCAATTGGGGAGAGGGGGACCCGCCAGTCTCCCAGGACCTCTGCCCTCTGGTCCACACTGGGGCACTCCACGCCAGGCTGAGAAGTGAGGAGGGGAGGTGAAACCATCCCCATGTCTACAAGGCAGGGAGATGGCTGGTTTCTCAATAGGCCTCCTCCTGAACCTGTGTTTCTGCCTCTAGCAGGGCTGTCCTAAGGAGTCACTGAAGCAATAATTACATCAATGTGCCTTTCCTTTTTCCCTCCTCCCCTTTCTTCCTCATCAAGGAGAGAGGACAACAATTTTCCATTGGGACAAATTTTGAAAATGTACTGGCCTTCAGATTCCATATGGGAAGTAGCATCTTTGAAATAAGGGTTAATAATTCATTCAATAAATCTAGATTGAGCAGCTACATATTTGGTAGGTGCTCAACAAAACAGACAAAAAGTCCCTTCCTCATGGAGCTAACACTTATGGGGAAGATAAACAAAAAACATGGGGCGATGTGGGTCAGCAAACATGCAATGGTCAGCTGGGAGCAGGCACAAGGTAATCCTACAAAATGAGACCCGATGTTCACAGGGACTGTGTCCCACATTGTCCCTTGCACACAGCAGGTGGTCAGGACCAACTCATTTATCAGCAGGTTGTCATGGGACCAGCAATCAAGCTGACCCCAGTTAGTTGCTTCATATGGGGCTGGCATGGGCACCATGAGAAGAGGCAGGAGCATGCAGTACCTTAGTGGTGCCATCTGGGAACTGGTAGGTCAGAATGTAGCCATTGATCTGAGCCGAGGGGCGTGTCCAGGTCAGTACCCCCCCAGACTGGGTAACAGCAGACGGACGAAAGTTTCTGGGAGGGTCGATGTCTGTGTATCAAAAGTCAGGCAATTATTATCACTAAGGTAATGGAAGTAATTTTTTAAAAAAATATATTTTATTGATTTTTTACAGAGAGGAAGGGAGAGGGATAGAGAGTTAGAAACATCAATGAGAGAGAAACATCAATCAGCTGCCTCCTGCACACCCCCTATTGAGGATGTACCCGCAACCAAGGTACATGCCCTTGACCGGAATCGAACCTGGGACCCTTCAGTCCGCAGGCCGACGCTCTATCCACTGAGCCAAACCAGTCAGGGCTGGAAGTAATTTTTGAAGTATTACATTTTCTGCCCACATACCCTCCCATGTCTTTTCCTTCACGCAGGCTCTCTTCTTCCTTGCCACCAGCCCGTTATGACCTTTGTTTCCAAAAGCATAGGAAGGACAAGGATTAAGGAACTGGTGCTGGGGTGAGTTACCTCCCAGATGGAGTGACCCTGGGGCCCATTTCCCAGCAGACCCGCAGAGGGTGGCGGGTAGGAGCAATCTAGACCAGAGGCTAGATTCAGAGCTGGCAGAGCCCCACGGTGGCGTGGAAATGATAGGCGAGTGCAGATCCGAAAGGGCCCTGCACAGGGAAACCAGGGCATCTCAGCAAACAGCTGCCAGGAAGGATGACGGAGTGCAGGGTGCCCCCCAGGATGGGCTCCCCGGCTGGATATCTGGAAACCACACAGCTTTACATCAGCCCTGGGGAAGGAGCATGACCCTAAATTCACTGAGATTCATGTCCAACAAGTAGTGTAGGGCTTATGATGGACATTAAGTTGACAGAGAAATATAAAGTCCTATTTCTTACACATCTAAGTGTGTGGCCTTAGATGCCTGCTCTGCACAAAAAGAAGCAGGGATGAAAGGGGTGTTTGTATAAAGGAGAGAGAGAGAGAGAGAGAGAGAGAGAGAGAGAGAGAGAGAGAGAGAGAGAGAGAGAGAGAGAGAGAGAAGGAGAAGGGAAGGAAAGGGAAGCAAGAGAAAAGAGAAAAAGCAGAACTCTCCCTCTAGTTCCCAGTCACTCTCCCACACAAATGCCAGTGGGAACATGGGGATGTGTGCATGGTGGACCAAAAAAACTAAAGCAAAGTAATTGGTTAGAAGACTATGTTTTCCCAACCAAATAAGATATGAATGGAAATTTCCATTTTGAAAAGTCATTATAGAAGGTGATTTTAATTTCGAAGTTCCCAAAAAAGATGTCTCCAGGCTATTTTATACCCAGTAGCATTTCGGCTGAGAACTGAATTGCAGTATTTTAATAGAAATCAGGCAGCTGTTGTTTTAGGATGTTTTCACAAATGTAGAATTTCTGCAATGTCAGCTTGGTTTGACTTTCTAAAGCGTAACATCTGGTATGGATTTTAGTGTCCTCATCCCACGGAAAGACTGAATTTCCCGCTTTGAAGTCAGGGATGGAATGATTTATTTATTTATTTTTAATATATATATTTTTATTTCAGAGAGGAAGGGAGAGGGAGAGTTAGAAACATCAATGATGACAGAGAGTCATTACTTGGTGGCCTCCTGCAAGCCCCACACTGGGGATTGAGCCCACAACCCGGGCATGTGCCCTGACCAGGAATCAAACCATGGCCTTCTAGTTCTTAGGTCAAGGCTCAACCACTGAGCCATGCTGGCCAGGAAAAACCTAGCGATTTAAATATCTTAGACTGGCTCTGCCACCTCTGTGACTGCCCACCATCCAGGTTATGGACTTGAGGTGTCTGTCTTAGTCACATGTCCATGAAGCAGGAACATGGTAATATTGCTGCCTTTAAAAATGGGCAAAGAGGGAAGCAAAGGGAAGGTAAAGGAAGAGAGGAAGGAAGGAACAAGGGAGTGAGGGAGACAGAGAGGGTGGGAGGAAAGAGGAAAGTATTGGTTGCCTCTAGGAGCACTTTTTATTTTTATTTTTAATCCTCACCTGAGGATATGTTTTTATTTATTTTAGAGAGGAAGGGAGAGAGGGAGAGAGAGAAACATGGGTGTGAGAGAGAAACATCGATCAGTTGTCTCTTATATGTGCCCTGATTCAGGATGGAACGACTGGGGATCAAACCTGCAACCTGGGTATGTGCTCTAGCCAGGAATCGAATCCACGACCTTTTGGTGTACTAGTGTACAGGACAACACTCCAATCAGCTAAGCCACACCGGCCAGGGCTGGAGAGCAGCACTCTTATTAGGGAGCCTGGGATGTGGACAACTGTTTTTCTTTCTATAGAACCTCGGTTAGTTTGAAAATTTTTATATAAGTATGTGTCACTTTTTTGGTTAAAAACTCCTATTAATTGTAATAATAATAATTATAAAGAAATTCAAATCACTTCTAACTCCAGTGGCCACGGGTATGTATGAGGCTGCAGAGGGGACGGCCTTGCCCAGACTAAGGAGGTCCATGGACCTCGGGGTGGGCACAGCGCTCTTCTCGGGACCCCCAAGGCCTGATCGCCATGAGGCTCAGTGAGACCAGAGGCCCATCGCACATAAAATACAGGCATCGGACCCCCTGATCACCAACTGGAGGGGAGAGTGAGGGAAGACGCTCCACCGCGGCCCCATCTAGAAGAGAGAAACAGCAGAGGCGCCTGGCTTCCCCGTGCTCTGAGCTGGAGCTGAGGCCCAGCCAGGGCTGTATGGGGGCACGTGGGAGCATGAGAGCTGGCAGGGCAGGGCAGTCAGGGAGGCGGCCTTTGCACAGCCATCTTGGACAGTCACGCTGTCTTACTTTCACACTCCTTCCTCTATGGTCTTTCATATTCATCTGAACCATTATGTCAACATATGACCTCAAAAAGGTAAAAAGGGAACCCTCTGAAGAATGTCCTCAGTGACACAGTCTCCCCTGCTCCCCTCCCCACATCTGATACGTGTGAAGGGTTCCCTGTCTGGGTCCCTGGAAGTACCTGTCAGGGCCTTGGTGTCGGCCTTCTGGCTCTCCCGGTCCCCCTTCTGGGCCCACACGTGGACCGTGTACTCCACTCCCGGCCTCAGGCCCGTCAGGACGGTGCTGCTCTGCTCCTTCCCCACCGGAACCTCCCTGGTGTCTCCATCGGCGGAGGTGTAGCGCACCGTGTACCTATCGATGACGGCCTGCACCGGCTCCCAGGAGATGGTGGCCGTGGTCTCCGTCACCCGGTCGGTCACCAGGTTTTGGGGGCTGTCAATTTCTTTTTAAAAATAAAAGGTTGACTTTTAGAACCAGCGGAGAACATCCCAGCACCCCAGCACCCCAGCACCCCAAACTCTCCATTCAACTTCTTTCACACAAAACAATTCCATCGACAGAAGTGAAAAGGCCCTGACTTCCATTTTCCAGAGAAACAAACCCCTGGATATTAAAACTGGGAGGAATTAGATCTTAATCGAGTTTACCAATATGGAAATTTTCTTCTGGTTCCCACAGGAATAACAATGGAAGTCACCTGAGCAGCAAGAGGAGTTGCCCCAAATTCTATTGAAACAACTTCCTTCCTTATGGTATGTAGTTAACTTGTTTCTCAGAATTTGAGAGCTGAGAAGTCATATCTTCCAACTTTCTTGTCTAATAAGAGGGGAGGAGAATGGGAGCCCAGAGAAATGAAAGACTTGTCCAAGAGCCTACTGTTTTCTTGTGTTAAAACTGAGACAACAATTTTTTTCTTGTGTAAAAGCCTTGTTCACTCTGAACTGGGAGCCCACCACCTTCTCAAGGCCTTTGCTCCTATTCATGTACCCTCTCTCCTGCACCATCAGTCTCTTCTCTGCCGCCAACGCTACTAGACAAGCAAGCTCTAGGCCTCCCATCCTTCTGCACCCCTTAACCTACAGACTTCTCAGGAGGACTACATGCCTTCACGTCTCACCTCCCATCACTCCTCAACGAAGCCCCGCACTTTTCCACATCGCACCACTAAAACTGTACGTCAAGGTCACCAACAACTTCCACGTGGCCAAGTCCAGTGAACAGCATCCTCACCTGACTGCTTCTGAGCAGTGTCTGGCAGAGCTGATCCGCACTCCCCTTCGTGAAACACTCCCAGGTCTGGGCTTCCATGACTGTACCCTCCCCTGGTTTCCCAACGCCTTGACTCATCCTTGGAGTCTCCTCCATCAGCACCTGAAACTGTTGGGCACCAAAGTCTCCTCTACACGCCTCCCTAGGTCAGTGGTCGGCAAACTCATTAGTCAACAGAGCCAAATATCAACGGTACAACGATTGAAATTTCTTTTGAGAGCCAAATTTTTTAAACTTAAACTATATAGGTAGGTACATTGTTATTAACTTAATTGGGGTACTCCTAAGCTGGCCTTTGCTAAAAACGTCCTCAATCTGATTGAGGTACATTTGCTGAGGTCGACCCCTTCCAACTCTCCCATCCACACTCATCTTGTATACATGTTTCGTCTATCTCCTTTCCGAAAACCGACTTCTGCGCATGGGCCACGAAGTTTCAATCGCACTGTACGTGCGCGCCCACACGTGGTATTTTGTGGAAGAGCCACACTCAAGGGGCCAAAGAGCCGCATGTGGCTCGTGAGCTGCGGTTTGCTGACCACTGCCCTAGGTGATCTCACCCATACCCACAACTGTAAATACCAACCGAATGCTTCTGGCTCCCCAATATCAATTCTGAGCCCCCACCTATATCTACAATTGTTTCTCTCTCATCGATGTTTCTAGCTCTCTATCTCTCTCCCTTCCGCTGGTATTAGACACTCAATGAATATATATTTTTTTAAAAAATCACTCAATTAACCAAAATAGGTCACAAGTATCCAAGCTTACATAGCTAAACATCTTAATGTTCCTCCCCAAAGCCATTTACCTCAGAAAATGATGCCCCAACACCGATCATACTTCATCCCTCATTTTCATCCTGCCCCACATCTCACCCATCAACACACCCTGTCATCACCTCCAAAATATGTGCCCAGAGATCCCCGTTTCTCTACCTTACTGCCATCACCCGTGTGCCAATCATCATTGTCTCTCACCAGACTTTTACCAAAGCCTCTTTACTACTCTTCCCACTTCCACCTGCCTTCTCTTTCATTCATTCTTCACACTATGGTCTGAATAACCTTTTTAAAATGAATATCACATCATGTCACTCTTCCAATAAATATAGCACGTGGTCCTGTATGATCTGCTTCTTGCCTCTTTTCACCTCATCTTGGGCCACTTTCTTTCTCGCCCTCCACGCTCCAGCAACACCAACAGCCACTCAGTTCTTCAGCATTGCATGCTGTTGCAGCGTAGAGCCATCACACATACTGTTCCCTTGGCCAGAAATGTCTAGTTTTCCCCACTATCCATTCTCCTCTCCTTCTACAAGCATACTATCCAAAGATCTCTCTGTACTGATGGAAATACTCTTTTATCTATACTGTCCAATTTAGTAGCCATTAGTCACATGTGGCTATTGATCATTTGAAATGTGGCTAGTCCAACCGAGGAAATATTTTTTATTCTAGTTTTAATTCATTAAAATGTAATATAACCACATGTAGGTTAGAAAGGACAGTATAAAAGAAGTTTACATTTGGCATGTGGCCATCCAGTAAAAGGCTTCATTTCCCAGCTTCCCTTGTCTTAAGGTCTGGCACCATGTCTGGAGTTTGGATCTGACCAATAGGATGTGAGAAAAACTGACACCTACAATGTTCCTGTCATGTCCTTTCCTTTCCTCATCCCCTTTCCACAAGCTGGAGTGAGGTTATGTGATGACAATATAGATGAAGGCAACTCCTGAAGGATGACTGAGCAACAATACGGAAGGAACCTGGGTCCTATGCCATACCAGCCCTGGCCTACTTGCACTCTGACCATTCCACAAGAAAGAGATGAACTTCTTTCTTATTTAAGCAACTGTTATTTTGATATTTCTGTCAACATTATTAGCTATTACTCCATACCATCTAAGAAATATCCCTACCCTGTCATTCTTTATACCTATACCATGTACATGTCCTTCACAGAACTTATAATTTACAATAGAAATTTGTTTGTTTGCCGATGGTCCATCTTTCCCACTGGATTTCAAGATAATTAGAATCATATAAAGGAATCATATTTGTTTTGTTCACCACTATATCCCAAGCCTGGCACTTAGAAAATTTAATTCATGTAGAAATGAACATAGAGCTCCAGCTGTCATGGACAATACTTGTTCTTTCAAACTACACACCATCTATTAAGTCAAACCTACATAAAATATCTTGCCACAGAACACTTCTTTAATCCAGTGGTGTAGAAATTTTATATTGGTTTAACTTGTTCTCTATAATTGCCTATAACTGAGTAGCACAGTGGTTAATAACACAGGCTTTGGGAAAGAGTTTAAAGATATTCATGAGATTGCTCTGTTTTTTCTTTAGGTAAATGAAGTTTTTTTTACAGTAAACTCTCCTAAAACACACCAGAGTCCCTCATCACAGTAACCTCATCACAGATCCCAACAGATCAATCCATAGTGATGACCCTAGTTTGTTTTTCTCCTCCCTGCTGTTACCTGTCGAGGCCTTGGTGTCGGCCTTCTGGCTCTCCCGGTTCCCCTTCTGGGCCCACACGTGGACCGTGTACTCCATGCCCGGCCTCAGGCCTGTCAGGACGGTGCTGCTCTGCTCCTTCCCCACCGGGACCTCCCTGGTGTCTCCATCGGCGGAGGTGTAGCGCACCATGTACCTGTCGATGACGGCCTGCACTGGCTCCCAGGAGATGGTGGCCGTGGTCTCCGTCACCCGGATAGTCACCAGGTTTTGGGGGCTGTCAATGTCTAGAAATAAAAAATGCTGATCACTATGCACTATTAATGGATCAAACTAGTGGCTATTTTGCTTGGGGCGAAACATGTTCATATTTTGTGGTTTTTCCATTTCATATGCTCTAACTCCTTCCTGGACATATATCTTCTCTCCCCAGATAGACTTTGGCTCCTCAAGGAGAAAGCACAGTAGACCAAACTCTGAAAATCTACGCCGTTACCTCTACTAAGAGTTTAGCAAAACAAATAACTTTACTCATTTAGTAAGCGTATGTCACACTCCCACCCTGTACACATAATGGTGTTAGTTAGAGCGTCAGGTCCAATGGAAGACACAGGCTTTGCTCACAGCAGCTAATATCATTTCTAGCATCCTATCAATGAAGACCTCCCATTTCATACAAGAATATTCTAATAGCAAGGCACACACAGAAGCTCCTAGGGGAAGAGGGATGTGTCCTAAACCCTCGGGGCTCTCGCTGCCAAATAGAGGACAGGGCAAATGGAAAGTGCTCAATCCGTATTGCTAAACGAATCGGCAAAAAGTAAAACCTAGTTTTAATATTCTTTATAATATCATAGATTCACTCAGAACACTAGTTTGCTAGTTAAATCTCCACACAGAAATATGGTCATTCATCTCTTTCTCATAGGATAGGAATATAACATAGAAGTTACCCTTATTCTCAAAGCCAGAATCATCATATTGTTCATTCACTGTAAAGCAAACCACAAACATCAACTTGCTCTGGTAGATATAAAGTCTACTTTTTTAAAGTTAAATTTTCAACATATTAATATAAACAACATTGAGTTTTCCTTTTCTGTTCTCACTCACAAACTCAGTAGGGGACCCTCAACACTGTCCACAACAGAAGATTCATGTGGCTCAATGTGCCCATCATGGCAAATCGTTGCTTGGAGACAGCCATGAGGCCCTGACTTGTAAGAAAAGCAGGTAAAAGGGAGTGGGCATGATGGGTATAGTCCATTATAACGGGACACCATTCTTCTCTCCATAAATCATGGATTCGACCAGTGTCAGGGATGAAAAAAAAATTAACCACCCATACACTTAGTGTGACAGGTCTTACATTCCCCAAGAGCAACGCTCCCTTACCTGTCGGGGCCCTGGTGTCAGCCTTCTTGCTCTCCCGGTTCCCCTTCTGGGCCCACACGTGGACCGTGTACTCCACACCTGGCCTCAGGCCTGTCAGGACGGTGCTGCTCTGCTCCTTCCCCACCGGGACCTCCCTGGTGTCTCCATCGGCGGAGGTGTAGCGCACCATGTACCTGTCGATGACGGCCTGCACCGGCTCCCAGGAGATGGTGGCCGTGGTCTCCGTCACCCGGTCGGTCACCAGGTTTTGGGGGCTGTCAATGTCTGAAAGGAAAATGCTGATCAATAAACACTATTAGCAGACTGCGATCTCGTGGCATGTTGCTTGGGGTGAGACAGCTTCCTGTTCTTAAGGTTCCCCATCCCATACGCAGGTTTTCAGTTGTGTCATGGACAGAGACCTTCTGTGCATGGCTGGACTCTTGGATCTTCAAGAAGGCAGCACAGTAGAATGAGGCCCAGACACAGAGTCAGAGGAGCTGGCTTCTAGCCCAGAGACAGAGCAGAGGGGCGGGGAACAGAGATGAAAATATTTAAAAAGTATGAACTCTTCTTGAATATTACTTTAACCGTAGGATCCTCAGAACAGGCACAAAGTGCTCAGGAGGACTTGTTCACCAAGAAAACAATAACCCTTCTTGTTCCAAAGAGATCACAGCAAAAGCCATTGCCCAAAAGTACTTAGCTCACAGATCCTAACATATAAGCCTCTTTATATTTTTCCCTTTCAAGAAGAAATAATTTAGTGACTGATCACAAAGGAAATACACAATGGGAGGAACAGTGGGTGGAGTGGACTGATCACCATTTATCTTTACAAGAACAAAGTATGAAGCCGAAGAACAACTCTCTATTACCTGTCGGGGCCTTGGTGTCGGCCTTCCTGCTCTCCCGGTCCCCCTTCTGGGCCCACACGTGGACCGTGTACTCCATGCCTGGCCTCAGGCCCGTCAGGACGGTGCTGCTCTGCTCCTTCCCCACCGGGACCTCCCTGGTGTCTCCATCGGCGGAGGTGTAGCGCACCATGTACCCGTCGATGACGGCCTGCACCGGCTCCCAGGAGATGGTGGCCGTGGTCTCCGTCACCCGGTCGGTCACCAGGTTTGTTGGGCTGTCAATTTCTTAAGAAAATATTTAGGAAAGTTTAAGCTTTGAAGTCACGGTAGAGATACCCACCAACCCATCTCCATGATTTCATCGTCTGGAGCTTTGTTAGCACAAGGAATGATATTCCCATTCTGAGTCTCTCCCTGAGAGGGAGTCGAGGGCAAAGGTCACCCCTGGTTCTCAATTCCAGAGGACCACTCATTATAAACCTGACATACTTCCTGGGCTTTCAGCTCCCGCCAATGATGTCTTCTTTGCAACATGATGGCACATCAAAACAATCCATCATACATCTGCCATGACATTCAGGGTACCTAATTTATATTTTATCAAGGGCTACTTTACAGGTGATCATTCTGAAAGTATTACCACCAGCACTGCAATGGCCACATCCTCTGTACATCTCCGCTGAGTCTGCTAAAAACACTGCTGCTGCACAACTTTATGTCTCTCTTCTAGTAGGTAGAGGGTTTTATGACCAGCTCAGAGCTGCTGGAAAGAGCAGCTCACGGAGATAAGCACTAGACTCACTGTCCTGTTTGAGCGTTAAGACTTGCTTTGCAAAGTCTCTCAACTCAGGTCATGTCTTTTGGTACCAAGTGCTCAAAATTCAATTCCAACTGACCACCTCTCTCATTACCTGTCGGGGCCTTGGTGTCGACCTTCTGGCTCTCTCGGTCCCCCTTCTGGGCCCACACATGGACGGTGTACTCCACGCCCGGCCTCAGGCCCGTCAGGACGGTGCTGCTCTGCTCCTTCCCCACCGGGACCTCCCTGGTGTCTCCATCGGCGGAGGTGTAGCGCACCATGTACCTGTCGATGACGGCCTGCACCGGCTCCCAGGAGATGGTGGCCGTGGTCTCTGTCACCCGGTCGGTCACCAGGTTTTGGGGGCTGTCAATTTCTTTAAGAGAAAGAAAAGAGTGCAGCATTTAGCAACTCTCTGGCTCGTGAAAGGCCAGGTTGCCCAAATGATGACCTCGATAAATTTCAGAGTCTGTTAAATGCAAATGATTGAGATAACTTGAGGGTTTAATTAAACAAGTGGTCTGAAATTTCAAGAATGGTCTAATTGCATTTCATGAGAAGTAGGGTGTGCAGACAAAGCCACCATAAAGTCTCAACTTTGTAAACTTTTTCCACAAGTTGCCTTTGGATAAAAAGAATTGGTCTTTTTCTCCTTTCCACTGAATTTATAGAAAGCGCTCTTTCAGTTTCCAACTCCTTGTACCTGAAAGAAATCCTACTTCAATAAATCTCAACATCTGCTCTAATACTGTTTTGGGGAAGAAAATTATCGTGGAAATAGGAGCTGCCAGTTCTTTCCACTGCAAACATTATGCCGCCTGGCCAGCATGACTCAGTGGTTGAGCATCAACCTATGAACCAGGAGGTCAAGGTTCGATTTCCAGTCAGGGTACATGCCCAGGTTGCAAGCTCGATTCCCAGTGTGGGGTGTGCAGGAGGCTGCTGATCAATGATTCTCATTCTTCATTGATGTTTCTATCTTTCTCTCCCTCTTCTTTCCTCTCTAAAAATCAACTAAAAAAAACATTAGAAAACAAACAAAAACATTATGTCTCTGGTCAAAAAAACAAGACTCTAACTGATGGCATTTGAGATCTGTGCTGATAGAAATAACCCTTCTTGTAGAATCTGTTGGGTGTATATGTGATTAACCTGGGTTAGAATCTCTCTCCATGATTTCCTGTCAAGTGCTGGTAGCCTCGAGTGTTCTCCAGGATCCAGCTTCTGTGAACCCAGGGATAGTGCGAGG